ATTGTAAAATTTTTAAATAACATTTTTTTTTGTGTCATTGAGTATGTAAAATCTTTTTAAGAACAGAGTGGAGTTTGAAACTTACTATAAAATATTATAATTTATATAAAAAGGATATTACAAAATTATGTATAAAATAATGAAATAGCCTTTCAACTTCAGAAAAATAAGAAAAGAAACTATATAAAGAATTGAAATGCAAGTTATGCTCTTTTGAAAATTCTCAAATAGGGGCACATTTTGTGAATCCCTAATTCACCTAAATTGCTATAGTGACAGGACGGATATTGGATGAGATTGAGAGGAGCCTTTGTGGTGGCCGAGCTTGTGTTCCGGCTTTAGGAGGTTTCAAGAGAGGATTGAAGAGCTTGTCCTCCACATGCACATATTATTATTATCATTATCATTATCATTATCTATGGAAGGAATATAATTTTTATTTCTTTTTATTTTGTCTTGGGATGGATGGTTATATGATTGATGATTTAAGTCTCATTATAAGTGTAAAATACTCATGTATGGAAAAATAAAATACATTTTTTTAATGTTTTCTTTTCATATTTGGAGGCAGTGGGCAGTTCCAAGCATTATCAAGAATGGGATTATACCTTAGCAGAGAGATGCTAATTGTCATTCACTTCACAGCCTTCACCTGCAGTTTATAGATACAAAAACAAACAAATTATCTCAAAGCTTAACATGGTCATTGACACAAGGATTTGTTTCAGTAATTGAAAGGTGGGGGAAAAAAATATACCAATTACAACATTCCACAACCTCTTCCGTTATCAGCAATGATCGAGCCATTGAACTGAGTTTGATCGCCTCCAATTGGCAGTGCCCTAAAATTGTTGTAGAATTAAGCAGAAAAAGAGCTTCTATTATTCACCATTTGAAAAGAGGAAACTGATGCTCTTAACATCTGTAATAGCTATGAACAAGAATCACCTGCTATTCCTCCTTCACAGAACAAAGTGTGACATCATTAAAGGCCAAAAGTATCAAACTAGAAATAAATATTTAGATGATTTTGATTTAATTAAGGGTATTAGAGTTAGAACTTTATAATTGCTGTTCTGAAAAAGGAAATCACCTTTAAATGTGACTTGCTGTTGTTTCTTGAAGCTGCTACCTCCAGATATTCTCCACCAGAGAGATTTGCACTGGACCACAAGCACCACCTTGACCTCTTCTGACGTACCAAAGGTTGGAAAAGGTTTTAAGTTGTTATTTCTGGAGCCAGGAAGTTGATTTGGTCATAAATTATTTGTAGTAGCAGCGAGGATCATGTAATATGCCAGGTATAGAGAGAGGTTATCCACCTGCAAGTGGTTAAAACACAATTAACACATTGGAACCTATTAATTTCAGGAAATCCATGCTTTCAAATTCCATTCTTTCTTTTCTGATCAACATTTCTCAGTACTGCTATTAGCAACCATAATTCCTGCTAGAATAACTCTAGTTCTATCCAATGAGTAATTAGTGCTAAAAAAAAGTCATACGAATGGCAAGAAAGTAGGATAAATACTCTTGAAGAGAGAACAGAACCTACTGGTGATCTTCTTCTTTTTTCTTACCCTTTTTTCATTTGACAAACCTTTTATTCTCTGCTACAGAGCATCACAAAATATTAGCAGCTACTTTGCAAAAAATTTTAAATGTATATTGGATCCAAAGTTACAGTTGTACAGGATTCAAGTAAAAAAAACATAAAAAAGCTGAATTTTAAAAGAAAAAAGCAGCCCTATTCATGAGGTACCTCTTAATCTTGGGTCTAGAGAGAGTTGACACTTGCAACCTTATCCCTCGAACCAAAGAGGTTTTCGTGACTTGAACTGTGGTTGTCAAAATCACAAAAGAGCAATCTTAATGTAATGCCACATTCACCCTCTAAATTAAAAACTACACAAAATTATCAAATGGAAATTTAGTGGAAGTACAACAAATAAGAATATATCAACCAAGAAAATAAAGATGCAAGAAATATTGAGCGACTCTATCTAAAAAATGATATTTTGGTTTATTAGGTTATGATAATTCTAAAGACACCATGGAAGATCAAAAATAGAGTTTACACAAGATATTGACCAAATAAGAATAAGAATTTTATTTCAAAATATATTGACCAAGAAACAAAAGATCATAGTGATTTTGAATACTCTATCTAAAAGGCAAAATTTAGTTTATTAAGTTAAGATAATGTTAATACACATTGTCCAAGACCAGAAATACAGTTTGTATCATATAGAATCTTCTGGAATCGAAATTATGTTCCACAAGAAAATTTGCTTAAAAAGATACGAAAATAGGTGGGGGTGGAAAAAGATAAAGAAAGATCATGACAACCTCTAGTAACAAATTTGGTCATGCCGTAAGTGTAAGCACAGTGGAATATCTTGCTAAGACAGAGTAAACGGAAACCACATAAAAGTCTAGAAATAATTTAATCAACTCACACTGAACAAGTTAACACAAGTATAAGAGAAATAGTCCATGTATTCCTATAGGAAAATGTTCAAATATAAGCCATATTATATTTTTATGATATTTATTTATGAGAAAATGACTAGTTAAAATCACCACTTATACAGACATGAACAGGTCAACAATCAGCATATGGTTGCATATCAATTTTTTGGTTCAACCAAGTTCCAACAGTTTTCATCACTTAAGAAACAACTCATGTTAATCTTTGCTATAAGAATGACTACATTTTGTCATCCTCTTGATTACATCAAATTCTGAGTTTCCAGAAAACAAAAGCAAACCCAAGAATAACTCAGCAAAAAAGCACCTCAGTGACCAGCACTTGTATATCTATTACATGCTAAGTTCCAATCTCAAGCTTAATCTAGTCTCACATGTCCTAGTCAAGTATACTGAAATTTTAGATTGCTTTGGAACAAATGGAAAGTAGCAGTCAAACTATGCTCATCCGAGATCCACAAAAAGACAATGGTACATGTTAAGCAATTTGGAATGTACAAAAAGTAAGTCAGTTAAGCTCTTCCGAGAAACCCATTTGTCATGATCCAACTTGACGTAATAATTGTATCAGTATCACTGACCCAAAATTTTGAAGTCCAAATTAATAGTAGTATCCTTGTCAAACTCTTATGAGTCATCTCAACTTGAGTCTTAACCCACTTCCCATGTGGGGCTAATTACAAATAATCTCCTGTAGTTAAGCCTCTTTAATATCTTGATCCCTAGAGTTAAAAAATTTATGTTGGAATCCCTGTAGTTATGAAAGTGAAGCATGTAGCTCCATTTACCCTAACGTCATTAGTTTTACCGACAAAAGTACGAAAACGATGGGTAAAAAGGTAATTTCAATGTCACAGTTACGTTTTCAGTGGTGACGAACGACGACGTTATTGGGAGGCACGGGTGGCTGTTGTGGGTGAGGAGGGAGAGAGACAGCGAGAAGTGACGTGATGACGCAGATGTCGATGCTCTGCAGTCTACATCTGTGTCGATGTCACTCAGCAACTGTGTCAGCGCTGATGCAGATGCAAAGCAACGAAAGGGCCGCTCAACATCTGCATCGGCGCCGACAACAAAGTAGGGAAGGGCGATACCACTATGCATCTGTGTTGGCACCAATGCAGATGTCAAGCGGTCCTTTCGTCGTTTTGCATCTGTGTCGCTGCCGATGCAGTTGTTGAGCGACACCGACGTAGATGCAAAGCATCAACATCTGCATCGTCGTCTTATCTCTCGTCACTCTCTCTCTATCATCCACAATAGTCACCCGCGAAGCTATATGTTTGACTTTCATAACTATAGAGATTCCAATATAAATTTTTTAAATCTAGAACTAATGTCTAACTACACCATAAAGGTAACCTGTAATTAGCCATCCCACGTGGGATAAACGGTAATTAGCCATCCCATGTGAGGTAGATTTGGAATTCAAGCAACGCCATTGAATCTAAACATTGATGGATAAGTAGATTGAAATCTGTATGGTTCAATACAACTCTATCAAAAGCAGAATGAAGAATGAAGAATCACAATTTTTAGCGGACTACTTCCTTCAGCACCCGAAAGGCATCACCAACCCAGTAAATGAATGAAATAGAAAACGTTCAAAACCTTTTGTTCCATGAGATCAGGTAAGACCAGAGCTCGCAACATAGAGGAAGGGAACCGTCTCCTCTCCCAATTCAGACACCACCGCACCGACTCGATTCTCCAGAACGATTAACACGAGATATATCTGAAGAGAGAAGGGATGGACGGGATCTGACCTTCGACCGACGGGATTGGGCAGATTGGACAGTGCGGGCGATTGAGGTCGTTGCTCTCCGCCTCCGATTCAGTTGGCGCAGGGCAGGATCTGCCACCGGAGCGAAGCGTTCTCGATCTGCACCAAGCGAACCGAGGCGGCCATGCCCGTCATCTCCATTCCACCGGCGGGGGGAACACTATTACCGAGCATGGGCGGTGAAGATTGTGACAAGTGGCGCGCATCACGGCTGCGATGGAAAGTTTGAGAGTTAAGAAGCCATTCATTTTTACATTTCTACCCTCCCATTGAATTTATCCAAAAAAATTTAATTAAGCTCACCGCTAACTGTTATCAGTAATTACTTTATATTTTTAAAACATATAAAAAATTCTAAAAAAACCTTAAATATTGTTATTGTTCTTATAAATTATTTAGTTCTTGTTTTTTCTCTCAGCATACTAATTTTTTGTTTTTTTTCTTCTTATCGCCATCTAGTTCAATCTTGAAGAAAAATCATAAAATATTATTTTATACAAAACTCAATGAATTAAAAAAATGTAAGTGAAAAAATGATTATCGAGCTCAAATCTTATCATAAACTATCAAAATCTTTATTAACCAATCTAATTGACACCTTCAAAATATATTGACTAAGATTTTAAACATTCAATATTAATAAATAGATTTGATACATCATCACTACACCACGAAAAAATATTATTACCATTGATCTTAACTGATCTTGAGATAATGAAACATTAAATAACAAAAATAATCACATCCACACACTACTATATTATTGCATTGAAACACTTTATACAGCTGAGAATCCCATGGAAACCAAGATAATTGGATTATTGGCAACATCAAAGATTGCACAAATGGCACCCGTGGGACAAAACCAAGCACGTTGACACCACCAAACCAGATGTCAACGAGTAGGAAGCAGTAACAACAGAAGTTTCAAACCTTTACATACTCTTAGGAAACAAACGTATTACAACCTCGGCCAAGGCTTCTGCACACCATAGTTCATGATAGGATGACCTCAGAAACACAGCTAATCTGTAAAGAAACTGAATTGGACAAACTGACCAGATTGAAGTATGTTACGGCCTCAATGATTATGATAAAAGAACTATGACCACAATGAGTAGGATAATCCCAAGAATCACCATAATCAGGCACATCTGCACGTAAACCAAGCAACCAGATCACAAAAAGCTGTAGCAAATGACATGACGTAGAAGGCAGGAACTTGATTTTACCAAGGATGAGTTTGACTTTTGCGTTTTCGCCGCCTTTTTAACTTGGCTTTTTCCTTGTTGGGTTGCTGCATGAGAGTTGTCAATGTGGGAGTTGATGTCATCTATAACCAAAACCATAAGAGTTAGTTGAAGCACAAGAGCTATAAGACGATCGTCAAATGTAAAATAAAAGTCTCTTACCGATGACAACTCCTTGATCATGAACCAGCAAGGCAAGGTCCTTAAAGATTTCATTCACCTGACCAATCTGCTGCTGAATCTCCTGAATGCCCTGTTCTCTCTCCTCGATAATAGCCTCATTGAAAACAATCTCATTATCCAACAACAGAACCTCCTGCCTGTATGATAAAAAAGATGGAAAATGCAAAAATCACTGAATGAGCAACAGTATGTGAGCTGTAAGCTGAGCAACAGGATTTGAGCATATACAACAGAGAAAACCAATTGGTATGTAGTAGCCAATTTATGGTGTCATGATCCAGATAACCTACTAATCAAATAATTTGGATGGTGCAGGTTAACTAGCTACATGGTCCAAAAAGTTCAAATCCAAATTAAAAGCAATGAGCCATACTCTTATGTCCCTTCCCCAAGGATGGAATTTAGCTTAGGATCCTCTCATATAGTTTCAATGTTGGACTACCCTAAGTTACACCATCTTGGCACATTTTAACGCTTCAGCAGAAAAATAAATTGCAATAACAATGATTTCCATAACTCATATGATCTTAGCCAAGAACTTGTGATTATGTACTTCCTGGATATGCCAATGCACACTTTATATGTTAGGTTATATTGATTGTGACAGTTAGTCTCAAATTGGAGTTGGATTGCATTCAGTTGACAAAAAGAAAGCAATGGTGGCCCAAAAATATTGTATCTTGAGACCAGTGATTTCAATAGGCGCTCGGGCGCTCGTCTAGGCGCTCGGGCGAGGCGAGGCGAGGCCCGAGCGCCTCGCTTCATGTCCAAGCGCCTCGCTTCAACGAGGCGCCGCCGAGGCGCTCGCCCGAGCCCAAGCGCCGAGCGCTTCGGGCGAGCGCCCGGGTTAAACCAGGCGACCGAACCAGTGTTTTAGTTCGGTCTCCGATACTTTAGTTGGTTCAATCGAACCAACTAAATCACCGATAGGCTCCCTCTCACGATTTCCCCAACCCTAACACTCGCGATTTTGCCGTCGAGATTTCTTCTCCGTTGTCGCTGCTCTCTGCTACCGTTGCCATTGTCGCTACTCGCCGCTGCCACAATCGTCACTCATCGCTGTTGTCGTCGCTCGCCGCTCGCAGCTCCCACTCCCACTCCCACTCCCGCGATCGCTCGCCGCTCCCGCTCCCGCTACCGCTACCGCTGTCGTTCCCTTAACAGCCTCGGTCTTCTCACACTCTTCTCACTATACTGTTAACAGTATATTAACAGTATACTGCTAACTGTATACTAATAATAGTATTTTTATTTGTTAGATTAATAATATATTATTTTAATTTTAATACTATTAATTTTTATTTATTTAAAATTATTGTTAGGTTTCAGAATAAATGGCAAGTGTACAGAGGAACTCAATAGATTTGATGTAAAATTTTATTGTTTCGATTTTTGAGACTTTTTATTAATATGACATTGTGATTTTGTACTTGATTTTCTTAATTTAATAGCATATTTTTTATTTAAAGAATTATATTAATTATATTATATATTTTTATATTTTAGTGCCTCGCTTCGCTCGGGCGAGCGCCTAGTGCCTCGGGCGTTTTTGGACCTTGGCGCCTTTTGGCGCATAGCGCTTTTTAAATCACTGCTTGAGACGTGAGGTATGTTTAATAAGAGACAACCACAACATAATTCTGAGATCCAGTTGGGGGAACCTATAGTGTAGCGTTAACTTAGTAGACAAGCACATGACAGAAGCAACTAATAAGGTCGTGTACAAGTTAGACAACAAGGTGAACTTAAAATGTTAAGCTCTTGCACATGTCAACTGTAGTTTCACAATAATAACAAATATCAAAATAGAACAGAGATTTGAAAATACCATGCAAAGAGCATAGAGATACTTGCACGCCATATAATATGACACTAAAAGAGAATAAAAAGCAAAGACAGGAGCCACTAACGCACCTTCTAGACTCTGCAAGCACAGCGCGTTGTTCGAGTGTCCTATTAGAGTTATCATCAGCTTCAGTTGCAGCATAACTACACAAACATAACCAAGCCACGATATAAGGAACCATTTGATGGAAATAACACAAGGTTTACATGAAACAGCCCACAGGAGTATAAATAAGAATAGTACAGTCGATGATCAATCATGCTCATTACCACTGTTAAATCTACCAGTTTGAATACACCCTCCCCTACCCCTTCTTTCTTGTTTTTTCTTCTTTTTTCATCTATATTAACATGATTAGCAGTAGCTATCCATATTAATCCTCAGGAAGCATTCAGCTCTAAGGTTCAATATAAACATAGAGACAGGGTGAAGTAGACTAGCAATATGCTTCAGAAGAGATAAAATATGAAATTGGAACTATAACTAAAAAAACACACCTTTCAAGACCCCATACCAGGTAAAAAAGATGCAGATATCTAAAAACCACAAGTCATTCTGGCTACAAAGCAAGTTGTGCAAATATTTCATGGAAAAATAGAAATATATTGACACTTGCCTATGTTGATGAGAGCCAGAAAACATGCAACAGCTCAGACCCAAATCCAAATGGAAGCAATAAATATATCAGGTACCTTGAGGAAACAACTGCTTGGGGAACCAATGGGGCGAATGCAGTTTCTCTCTCAGCTGCAAGCCTATGAAGTTTCTGAAACTCACTCAAAATATTTTGGAAATCTCTTGCAAGTTTCGCATCAGCTATCTTTTTGTTTGCCTATAATTCAATTCAGTGGTTAAGCAGAAGGAAAAAAAAAGAAAATAATGCTTATTTTCCACACAACAAAGAGAGACAGGTTGATGGATCTGTTAATGTTGAAAAAGATGGAGCCACAAATTTGTCAATTCACAGAAATGTCTCCTTTCTATATTTAGAAGGATGGGTACAATGACCTTCCTCAGACCCCATATTGGTGGCAGCCTCGTGCACTAGCTCCAAACAAGGAACTGCTATGAACGCACTAACATGAACATGTGCTTACTCTCATTTTCCAACAATATAGTAATACCTAAAGGTCATAACTCAAAGTTGACAATTTATGGAAGATTTGTTAAATGGCTGCCCACTTGATACCAACCTTCTCCAAGCATAGTGCATGATAGCAAAGAGAGGCTAAGACAAAAACATGTTTTCACTAAAAGGTTCAGGTTAGTTGCAGGTGAAAAGTTCAATCTTCTTGATTCCAATTTAAGCTCAAACAACTATCCAAAATTTGTCTCAAAATAAGAAGAGTCTAGAAGATGTAGGACATGGGAAAGGTGACACTATCAAATGGTGTTTATCTCAATGGCTAGACAAGTCAAGAACCAAAAATAAAATCCCCAGTCAACTCATGCTTCCTTTCTTTACTATGTAAAACCTTGACAATGTACTACACATCCAAAATTGATGAGCATAAATACTTAAAAATGGGAGAGAACATATATTACTCCTCTTTCGTACTAGAAACTCACCATATGATACTTTGACAAACAAAAGATGATACCGGAATTATTTATAAAATGGCTTTAAAAGCTTCATTCAACGTTGAAAATATATGAACATGACAGTTGGATTTTAATGATCATAGTGTCTGAAGTGGCGAGGAGATAAAAAGGGAGATGCAACAGTGTACAGAGAAAAAGAAAGTAATTTCTAGCAGATGCCACATATGATGCTTACTTTCATTACAAGAATTTGTATTTAAAAGATAGATAACTGTGTTTGAAGACTACTGAATCTAAATATGCCCACTTCTAATAAGATCATTATACGTTGTACTTATTAATGGAAAATGTTCAAATAACACTTTTGATGAAAAATAGAAAAGAATACAATTCAGTGTACATAAACTGATGACAGCTATGAATATGATATTATTCATATTGGTAAATGAGAAATTCTAGGTAACACTAACGCCCATGTGATCTCAGCAAATGAAACAAGCTAGAGAATACAAGCAAGAAACAAATACTTACACTAACTTCCACACGCTGATCTGTTTCACTAGCTTGTTTAAGTTTGGCAGAGGTATCTTTAACCAATTGCCCAATTTGTAGCCTTGAGTTGTGTCTGCCAGTAAAACATTAGACTAAGAAAAAATTTACATAAAATCATATCTTGGGAGAAAATTTCTAAAGAGAAAACACCAAAATGTGCAGTTAGTGATGCCAATAACTGCTGCCAAATGTGAAGTTGATTTAGCAGTAAATTTTAAATTTCAAACTTGTGAAGCTTGAGAGGTGTAAGACTATAGTAGCAAATGACCCCCACAACCAGATGGGTTCTGCATATTTGCTCAGGAAGCACCAGGCCGTAGAAAAATTAGATCTTTTGCTTCATACCTAGGAACCTGGGAAAATAACATTACTTTAACAAGACTACCTCTCTTTAAATTAAATGCAAGAACTGTATTTCTCGTAACAACTTGAATAAGTTATGATTTAATGATACTAAGACAAATTAAGCAACCAAAACAAGCTTTTTACATTAGTGATACATTGGTTCCTCGAAGAGGGGTGCACACACAGATTCACAAATGTGGAAGAAGAATAGCATCTGCTCATCACCATTGATGAAGCACTAGAATGAATGACTCTTATTTACAGCTTAAAGTGGCCTGGAATATAATATATTATTGGAGATGAAGCTCCTCCAACTGTTAAAAAAGAAGTAATAGAGAGAAGCAATAGAGAGTACAATCATCCCTTGTATTTGCAATTGAATTGGAAAAAGTGAAACAGGTTCTTCCTTTAGTACATAGCTGCAAAAAGGACTATAGGCTAGACTGGCTATTCTGAGACATGGTCTAGTTCTCTAGATTCAGAAACTTGTAAGAGCCCCAAAAGGGGCAGGTACCTAATCGCTTAACCACACAGCTTCAGAGAGAGACTAAACTGATAGCTACAAACATTCTTGCATCAAACAAGCATGAAAGAGAACAAGATCCATGGAAAAGGATCCTCAAGAGTCTCAGACTAAGAACAATAATGAGAATGAGCTACACCAAAAATATAGCAAATTACCAAAGATGAAACTCATTTTTTACCAAACCTTACTGTGAGACTCCAACTAAAATGGAATCATCCAGTTCGTCAGGCTTAAAAAAGTAGTAAACATAAGTATGAGGCGTAGTAGATTATAAGCCCATAGATATCAGGTGAAGTACCCATATTTCTAAAACAACTACAACAGAAACTATGGGGCAACATGAAGTTTCAACAGAAAATTTGCTTAAGGCTACACCGAAGTGCCCATATCTCCTCCAAGACTGTTATTATTACGTAACATCAAAAAGGACAACAATTATTGCAGGAACAAAAGCTTTTCTCTTTACTATGAAGTTCCATCAAGCTGGAATAAGCGAGCACAGCTCACAGACGAGAAGGATAGAGCAAGATTTGACAAAATTTTTATGCCAACAACTAGGTATCAATCCAAAAAAATCAATGCCAACTTCTTTGTCAAATCCCAAAAAGGGGAAGTCGATAGTCAAGAGAAGTGGAGAGCAATAGTAATAATAGTTAAAAGCATAGCGGTAGTCTAATACGCTATTTTCGAGACATATTCATCTCAACGGCATAACCACAAAATACAATTGTCAAGCAGACAAAGATCCTATCTTTTCGACAACCAAATCGAAAACCGAGTGGAAAAAAGGAGATGACATATCGGAATGAGCTCTCACAGCTTCTCGCGGAGCTCCGGGGTGTCCTTGGGAGTGCCGATCGTGTTCACGAGGCGCTCGAAGTTGCGGACGGCGGTAGTGATCTGGAACAGCCCGGCCACGATGGCCTGTGTCGGATCCTGCCGCCCGTTCGACGGATCCCTCCGTGCGGTGAGCGGCCGCCCCGACTCCAAATCCTGGAAGCTCATCCTCTCCCACACGGTTCCGAGCTGAGAGATAGAGACAGAGTCAAACACCGAACTCTAACCCTAGAAATCCGGGATCGGTCCCGTCGATCGAAGACGATGGTGATTTTGGTTTGATCGAAAGAAATTGAGCAGGAAAACGGAATGAAAGATCGGAACTTTCGTTTGAAACGGATTAAAAGGGTCGAAGCGAGAGAGATTACCAAGAAAGGACGGTGGGAGAGACGAAGCCGTCAATTGCGATCCGAATTGGGAGTCAACGAAGATGAAATCACGAACGGTGGACCGGGTCGCGTTGCCGCGACTCGTCAACAATTAAAGGACCTTTGACATATTTATCTTTTGTTTCTTAATATCATATTTAGCCCCTCAAATAAGATTACCAAGAAAAGGAGCTTTCATATATATATATATATATGAAATATTTTAGACTCCAAATGTTTTAGACTTTAACCTATAAAATATTTAAACTCGTTTGAGAATATAAAGATGATTTCACATTCTTTTATGCTTTGGAGCTAGCCCTCCGGATTAAATTTCTCGTTCTAGCGACTCTAACAACAGTTTGTACTTATAGCTCGAGGGCAGTTGTTTGGCTTGACCCATCTTTCTCAATTTATTATAGTGAGATTATAAATTTTTACTATTTGTTAGATATGTTTGCCCATTTTAATATCATATATTATGAACTTGATTAGAATTATCTACATTGTGAAGCATCATTATATTCGTCCACAAAGTATTAGCACTGATGCAACTTGATACAAGTCTCGAATGATATATAAAATAATAAATTTATTAGTTAAGAAAATGATTGATCGATGTCCCGTAAAAGAAAAAAGTTTTATCAATAATTTAACAAACATGTAAGAGAGAGAAAAGAAAAAAAATTATTTACTATAAAAATTATCATAGGAATGATAATCGAGATTAGTAATTATTTACTAAAATAATTTTACCCTTATCATCTATTAATTTAGTATCGAAGGAACCATATTAAGAACCAAATCTATTAATTTAGTATCAAATGAAGTATATTAAAAACCAAATCAATTACGGAATACTAAGTCCACCTTAGCCCTCAAGTGACTGTCCACACACGGAGTCGAACCAAGTTGGACTGATCTAATCATCATCGATATTTTTCACATCAATCAGTATCAAGAGTATTCAAGAGTATTTTAATTAAATTAAAAAAATATTAAATTTGTTGTTTATAATTTTAAATAGAGTTTTATTTTCTAAATTTTTATTTAGCAATTGACTAATTATATATCCTCTTTGCTGTTTTAACACATATTTATGTCATCTTAAATATTTTTTTATAATTTAATTTTGATCACAACTATACCTAATTATTCATAGATATGTATAATCATCTCAACATTTTTATTTCAATAATATATTCTTTAATATATATTATTTATCAATCAATAATTTTTAAACAGATGGTCACGTAAAACTCATAACTCTTTTCACATTGACTAAGTGCATATTGACGATGACAATAATAATAAAAATAATAATAACAATAATAATAAGTGTAAATTTTAGGAAAAAGTCTAAAGTTGTTACAAAAATTTTACACAACATCTCTGTTTTTTAAAATTCCCATAGAGCATCCCTTATTTTGTGAAAAGATCATTTTATCTTTCCCTCCGTTAGACTCACCCTTGCCTCTCTAGACCCTTGTTGGTTCTCACCGGACCTATCTCTTCTTTCGTGGATCCTCATTAGACATGTTGAACCCCATTAGCCCATGCCTCCATGGATTCTCGTTACCCTTGTCGGACTCACTCTCCATCTCCATGGACCCTTCTTGGCCGCCATCGAACTCACCCTTGCCTCCGCGAACCTCGCTGACCTACTGTTGGACCTACCCATGTGTGCTTCGTTCTTGTTGTCCTCACCTATAACACATACAACTAATGACAAACGCATATACAACTAGGGGCCAATGAATGAAAGGCGACTGGTGCCACCTTATCCTCATAGCCCTCATCTCGTGGCATAGGTGATCAATGATAAAGGTCGTTAGAGGCCTACCTAGGTAGAGGTGGACGAGTGACAGAGGCATAGGCAAATAAATTCTATCAAGCCTAAATGTGACAACAACTGTCTATCAAAATTTTTGGAAATGGGATATTATGCAGTATTTCTAGAAGCTTAAAACTTTTTATGAGAATTTATAATAATAATAATAATAATAATAATAATAATAATAATAACCCTTCCTATAGCTCACGTGCATTGCACGCTCCAACTGCCGGTTTTTTTGATTTTTTGTTGGGATGGAGGGAGGGAAAGCAAGAAAGCAGAGGCTCTCCGCCACCCTCGCGGCTCCGTTGCCCCTCCTCGAATGCCGCCTTCCGGTACCTCCTTCTTCCTCTCCATCTCTCGCTGCGAAACCTTAATTTTATAGGAACAAGAGAATGGATTCCAGTGGAGCAAGCGAGGGTTCCCTTCTCACGGCGTCGGCACCCTCCTCCTTTCTCCCACCTCTAGCTGTGCGCCTCACCATGGAAACATCGACCAAGCCCTAGATCCCCTCCTCCCAAGATGGTTCGCTGTCTTCCGCCATCGCTGATTTTCTTGTTGTTTCTGCGTCTCTCCAATCTGGTCCGCGGCAGGACCGATTCGTCTGATGGTAAGCGATTTCCGTATTTCTCCCTTCTCGATGGCTCGTCTTGTGTACTGTTCTTCCTCTTTGCGAGTATGATTAGATTTATTCTGTTAACGATCGATTGATGTAGTATTGCAATGAAACATTAGATGGAATGTTTAAGTGAACCCGGAAGACATGGAAGGAATTAAAGATTACACCTGAGATCAGAAAAGAATATATTGTTGTGTCAATTTGATTAGTTTCTTAATGCGATTGGAGTTAATTGGGCGTGCCCCTGGTTGATGTGTTGAATTTGTGTATATGCATGTGTAATTGCATTCATATTTATTTTCTATGAACAACAGCTGCTGTCTGCGTAACTTCTATTGTTTTATGTAGTTACCAGATTGAGATGGGCCATTGGTTAAACTGTTAGCTTAACTGGTTGGATAAAATCATGAATATAATATATTTAATATATAGAATGGAATAGGTAGTTAGTTACCTTAGGTTTAATATTTATTTTTAAAAATAGAATATATTAATATATCATGTTAAAAATCTAAAACATATGGATAATATCATGAATAGAATTTTTTGTAATATAGTAAAAGAGGATGGTAAGGGTGATGTTAACAAGAGAATAACCAGGACGATAGGGCTTTTCATCTCTTTTATCCTTATAATGAAAATACTTAACTGACCTTTAAAAAAATCAATTTTTTTTGTAACAATAAAGTGTCGACTGTTTTTCAGTCTTTTTAAGGTTCATACTCTCCAACTAGTAAACCAAACCAGTAGGGTGTCCTGTTCTTGTTTTTTTTCTTTTTGTGTCTGAATAGTCTCTCCCTTCAGTCTGAGTATCATAACTATGGTTCTGATCCATCGATATGGTCCTTTCCAAATAATCAACACTCTTCAGATTTTGGGCTTTCTGCTTTCCTTTGATACTGTTGGTTTGTTGCTTTTGCAGTTTCTGCCTTGAATGTTATGTATAGCAGCTTAAACTCCCCCTCTCAGTTGACCGGTTGGGGTTCCAGCGGTGGTGATCCCTGTGGCAATGATTGGAAAGGCATCAAATGCTCTGGCTCATCCGTGACAGAAATGTAAGGAATTTCTTTTTTCTTGGATTCTTATGGTTCCTGGCTTTGGTTGCTGTGGTTCAGTCATTGCCATCCATTTATCCAAGACAACTTTCTAAAATGTGCTTTATGTGGTCATATATGTAGATGATCATGTGATCACCTTAAACAATGTCTTTTAGTAATTATATGGTTTGACTGCACATGCCAAAGATGCAACCATGTATTCTGTCTATCCTCATCATGTCACTGCTTGTGCAGATTATGTTTTCACATAGGCTGTTTCACTCTTTGCAATTTGTGCTGTAATATGTATGCCATGAAAAGTATTACATTAGTCTCTTGAACCTCATCTTTTTCTTATTACTTTTCAATTAAATCACATTGAAATGTTTATACTTATTCGTTAATTATCTAATTTGACTGTTGTTACCTGCTTGAATTCAACTAGAGTTTGTGGTGGTGGAGGAACTGAACATACTTAATGTTCAAAGTTTGGTTGTAACTTGTTACCGTACATACTTCACTATGATTATGATGAATGTTTTAAACTCTAATATAAGCTGCAGATGCAGATTTGTGACTTGTGGGCTGCGCATACAGTGTTGCAGGCCTTCAGAACATTGCTCAAAATGTTAAAATTATCAGTGTTAGAATTTTCCAGGCTACGACTCTAACAGCTAAATATCAATAACTCTTACACTGTGAAGAAAAGAAAGTTGCTTGATTATGCTTTTAATAATGTACTGCATTATGCTTTTTACTATTGTAGCTTAAAATTAAAGGAAAAACAGTACATGGAACTTTTTATAGGAGGATGGTAAATGATTGAGAAAAAGAAACACATACTGTTTCTTCGGTTTGCAGGCTTTAGTGCCTTGGTATAATCTAATATTCTGGTTCATTTCACAAGAGTGATTATTAATGATTACCCTTTCACCTAATATTTTGGTAGGCAATTTGTGAAAGCTGCTTTATATTTTTGTCATTGCTTTACTGATGGCACTTAATTGGATATATATTTCTGTCAACCAGAAAACTCTCAGGTCTTGGATTGACCGGTACAATGGGTTACCAACTGTCAAGCTTGACTTCAGTAACTTATTTGTAAGAACTAACTTGCTATTTCTTTAGACATATTGATGTTGCAACCTAACATGCCTTTTCTTGGTCTTAGTACAGTGATTTGAGCAAGAACAATCTTCAGGGCGATGTACCTTACCAACTTCCACCTAATGCCATTCATATGTAAGTCCCACCTTAAAACATGCATATATCTATCATATTTATTCTCTAGCTAGCAATTCTAACCTTATGTGCATGTTGCAAGAGTACAAAAAGTCGAGTGAAACCTAAATTTTATCTACAATGAATCAGTTTGGTGGACTTTCGTAGTTGAAATCAAGTTCAGTTACTATTTGGAACTCTATGGTTGCATGACTTGCATATACATGAGATTTTAATCTCTGTATGGTCAAATTGCTAACATATTAATAGAATATCAATGTTTGCCAGAATTTAGCTTGACATTTTATCTTGTGCAGAAATCTTGCTGGAAATGCACTTACTGGAGGGGTTCCTTATTCAATTTCTCAGATGACTGATCTTAACTATTTGTAAGATGAATTTGATTTTCGTTGCATAAGCTCCTACGTGCATCCTTGGTTCTTAATGATAAGTCAGTTGATGGTGGAATGCAGAAATCTTGCCAATAACCAGCTCAGTGGTCAGTTGACTGATGTGTTCGGAAAACTTCATAGTCTCTCATTGCTGTAAGATAACTTCTTCTTTATTATTATGTAATTAGACAATCAAATTCATTTGAAATAAAGAAAAAAAAATTGCTATTGTACTTCCAGTGATTTATGACCCACCAAAGTAGTTTCTTTTATGAAACTATACGTTTTGGTTTTAGTGATCCTTATCAGCCGATCCCATTAGAATGAAAAAGTTATACCATTAATACATTTGAAATTCTTTTTCCTCAATCTATCATCTTTTTGTCTTGGTTATGGTTTTTAATTTCGTCCGGTTCGGTACGATGTGACTGTTATATACTTTTCTATGTTATATATTGCATATATTGGGATGCGTGTGTGTATCTATTCACATGTGTTTATATAGGCACATCTAGCCTTCTTTTGGCAAATACATGGATTAATTTGTTCTACAGATGCTTTCAAAAGAATATACATAAAGAAATTGGAGCCACCCTCTATGCTACCTCCTTTGTTTGATGACCGTATTTAGAAGAGCAAATCCCTTCTACCTGAAGTCTTATTATGGAAATAGTTTCCGCTGAAAAATATAAGAATACAGATCTTAGATGAGATTTCTATTCCTAGATATGTGATAAGAGAATAAATCTTGGTTTAGTGATGCTGATCTGCATATTTCTAATGTTGGTTTAGTGATGCAGTGGTTGTGGTTTAGGAGGATCTTTTTGGTGAAGCTTAGTTGGGTTCCTTAAACCAATCTCACTGTATCATACCATGCTTAAATATGCCTCAGGAATTGGCAAATACCATGAAAGTCATATCCATTATGAGACTACACCAGGGCGTTAAATTGATGGTGCACTTATCTACACTGCTGGACTGGTGAGGGTTTATTAATATGACAACAAAGGCATGTTGTGAAAAAGGAGTAATAGTCATTAAGATAAGGCAGTTTATGTACTTATATTGTTCACCTGTTTATGTATTTTTTAATAGTCAACGTGAAGGTCATTTCTTTTTAGTCCTTGGATTTGACCTGTTATACATTGAATATATTTTCATATTTATGTTGTTTGGAATTTTGGCCAATTGGGTGATCTTTCACTTAAAAAATCGTGAGTTCTCACAAAGTGATTTCCCAACATCACAATTTTGCTATGACTAAGAATTCAGAAATTAAATAATGAGTCTGTCTTTTTAATTTAATTCAGAAATTAAATTATATATGACTTTTTTTCTTATATGGACTTTGTGCATATGACCATACTCTATTATGACATCAGGGATCTCTCATTCAACCACTTCTCAGGTAACCTGCCTCAGAGCTTCGGATCTCTCTCAAGTCTCAAAACTTTGTAAGGAACAGAAGTTTTCTTTTAATCTATCTTCTTGAGCTCCTGTTGAACTAATTTTGTGTATATTTGAATTTACAGGAATATACAGAACAATCAGTTTAGTGGTTCACTTGGTGTTCTTGCCCCTCTTTCTCTCGAAGATCTGTAAGTATTGATGAATAATTAGATCATGACTCAATGCCCCTTTCATCCGCTTGGAAACTTGGATGGTGTATTGTTTCAAGTGTAACTACATATCATTTGTTGTTTAATTATACTAAAAGAAGGTTCCTTGGAAGCTAATGGTTCATTTTTCTCTTTTTGTTGAATATGAAAAGTAATTGGATTGCCATGATTGTAAATATGGATAATTTTAATATAAATCCATTTCTACTCACTTTTAGTTGGAATTATCAAGTGAAGATGATCATCTGATTTAGAGAAATCTTTTGGATGCTTATTAGAAGTTAATAAATGATGCTAAAAATTGTGTTCAAGGAATCAGAAATACAAAAGTAACATAGTTTCAAGTTTCAACTGTATAATATTTGCAAGGAGTTCAGAATTTATAAACGACATTCTATGTAAATCTCATAGAAATTTTATGCGCTTATATGGGCAGGTATAAAGGTACATAGAGAACATAATCAGACAAGAAACATCTAACAGTTTATATCTTGGAATAGGAAGTCTCATTCAGTAGTTTGTTAAGATTGTTGTGCTTTTGCCAATACATCCTATTTTTCTAGTATATATTTTCTCATGGTTTACTGTTGAATTCTTTAAATTTTTTAGAGTTGCTTGCTTGTTATAAGCCAGCAAACTCACTAATTATCTGAGCAATCTTTAATCAGGTTTTCTTGTTTTTCTTCCAGAAATATTCAGAACAACCATTTCACGGGTTGGATTCCCAACAAATTGAGAAGTATAGATAATCTTAAGTGAGCAGGATTGAGCCTTTTTTTTTTGGGTTCTTTTCTAGTTTTATGGATTTGCTGCTTTGTCTAATCCTTTCTGATGGCTACTAATTTCTTTCGTAAGGGTTGATGGAAATTCTTGGTCATCTGGACCAGCTCCTCCAGGTATGTCTAAAGCTGCAGACAGAACTGGTGGAAGCTCATCCACAAATAAACATTCAGGGATGAAAGCTGCAGCCATTGCTGTGATCGTGATAGCTGTCTTAGTTGCGATTCTCATTATGATGGCTCTGCTTAAGCGAAGATCTTCAGCTTCATCTTGTTATATTGACGAACAACATAGCCAGAACAGGTCATTTACACCTCTGGTAGACGATGAGTTTGCAGGTAGTTTCTTTCATGTTGTAAATTGTCCAGAATCTTTATGTTATATTATCAGATAGCTGCTCTTATACAAATTCTGATTGTAGTATCATTTACGCTTCTAGTATGCAAAAAGTTTTTAGTTTGTTTCTTCCATCGCATTAAAGCTCCAGAAACTTTGTAATGTTATCATATGGCTGTTCATATATGATTTCTGTTTGTAGTAAAGAAACTGTAAACTCATGGATATATGATTCTATATTCATTCTACAAAACTCAAATCGAAAAAGAATCTCATATGATATCACTATCTAATTTGGATCTGACAGCCTACCAATACTCACCTGGTGCAAAATCCAACTTGTAAGATCATGCTGAAGTAATTTTTTGGTAAGAGAATGATGTGTTAAGTTGTTTTTAGTAGCTTGTAGATAGTCAATTTTGTCATGCATATCGCTGATGATACACCAAGAGTTGTGCTGGCATTAGTGGCAGGTATAGGTAATAATGTTTCAATGGGAAGATACCTGTTATTTGACATAAAGGATATTCAAGCATGTTACATGGGATACCGATATTCATTAGGAGCAACAAATCTAAGTGATTGTATTTAGGCACTTAATCTTTTACTCCAGCAATATGATGTGGTTCGCTAAAGCTTAAAAGTGAAATTTACTGTTCATTTTACATGGATCCTTGTTTATTTTAATGTGAATAGTTTGAAGGTTAACCATAGAATACACAGAAGGTCCACATTGTTGGTAGTCAATCAGGATCTTGTTTATAGGCATATAATAGAAAGTAGAATGCTTAAATTGTAGAGGCCTTTGGAGTGGCATGATCGTCGCGTGTTCCTTTTTATATGACAATCATAAGGTTACCTGTGCTTTATGGATCAAAATGTTTAGTAGTTACAAAGAGAAGTTTGGTAGTTGCAAAACCATACGTACAAAGAGTTGCTGAGATGACTATATCAAGGTGGAAGCATGAGATTTTTGAAGAAATAAAAATATTACATTTCTCAAATGTTAAGATAGTACTGAAGATTTAATGAGGAAGTCTAAGAATGAGAAAGGCCATTCAAGATGGCATGCTGTGTTTAAGGGAGGTTTGGAGATTACTGGTTAGCTGAGGTGAGTAAATTTGGAATCATGGCACGAGGGTGGAGAAAGGCTTAATAAAATTTTATTTGAAACAATAAAAAGAGATTGATAATTGTTTGAACAAAAGTGTTGCTATATATAACTATATTTATGGAAAAAGATCTATGTACCAAGCCCTAGATAGTTGAGACCTTATGCTTGTTCTTGTTGTAGGCATTTTAATGGAAATATACAACCTGATATGATCTTGGTTTACTTTTGAATCCAGAAGCAAGTTGACTTCCATATAGAGTAGGCATGTTGATTCAACAGACATCTGAAGGTGATTATTCAGTTCTAAATTCTAGTAAGGAGTCGAGAGGATTCATTTTGCTATTTATGGTAATTATTTATATGTTACCCCATCTTATGGTGAGAGATCGAAACATGGCAACTCATTTCACCATTATCTTTTTGTTAGTTTAGCAGGAGAGTTATTGTCCCACAGAATTCTTTGTCAAGTTCAGGGTTGTTACTGTTCAAGTTGCTCTAACCCCAGTAAGAAGTTCATTGAAGTTTTAGGTTCTTTCCTAATAAATTCACTCTCTTTAACTATTGTCTACGGAAAGTGCATAAGAACTGAATAACTTAAATTCTGTATTTTAGATGAGATTCTATTTGCTAGTTGATGTTTTAATAGCATCTTATATTGTAATGAAGCCCATTTTGTACAAGCAATTTATTGAATTATCTGATGATTGACTAGAGATTTCTTATTTAATGGATTCTACCATAACTTGGTGGACATTTTATATTGCCATTGATGTGTACATAGTAAAATCGACCTGGTTCCCGAAGTTTTTTGACTTTTGTTCAGTTCTGTCAATACTAATATTCTTGTTCTACTCCTTTTTCTGTCAAAAAGAAGTCAATTTGCAACTTTTGATTTGGTCTTGAATTCTGATAATGATAATTTCTGGAACTCATATCTGATGAGTCAAAATTTCTGTTTTCATTTAGTTAATTTATATGTCTCTCTTGGAGATTTTCTCTTTCACAGTCATTATTAAAAAAATTATGCTCCTTTCATAATCTGTTATGGAATCTGCTTGCAGGGCTTAAGGATTCGTCTTCTTCAGTTGACATGAAAGCTTTTGAAAATCCTTCCTTGGATCTAAAAACACCATTGGCTGATACTCAAAAACCGTTAAGTGATAATCAGTTTGCAAAAAGATCTAATTCCAGAAGAAGCACAGACCACATTAGTCCCACAATTTATTCTTTAGCAGATTTGCAAGCTGCTACCTTGAGTTTCAGTGCTAGCCGCCTTCTTGGGCAAGGGAACATTGGACGCACATACAAGGCAAAATCTGCTGATGGAAAGGTACATTTATGCTTGGAAAATTTTGCATTTATCTGAAAATGCCCTGAGATAGCTGTCTCTATCTTTCTCTCTTATCACACAAATAATGGTGTATATACCAAAGTTTACACTTTACAGTACCACCATGTATGGTTTAGTACCTGCAATATTTACTGGTTTGATAGCCTACCGGCATGTGGATCATAGTACAACCTAGTCGTACGTCCTGTAGAAGGCTTATACCACTAGGTACAAGGTCTATACCATCTGGTCCACCTAGTACAAGGTGTGCACTAGTACAAGGTCTACATCATCCGGTGCAGGGTTTGTATCGGACAATAACGTCTTTATTTTCCAAACAGTACATTGGTATGACTCAGATCCATACTGGAACTGGTACTTGTTCGATATCCGAAATTTAAAACCTTAATATATTTTATGAGAGTGATTTCATTTGTAAGAGTAAGACCAAGGTTTTTAATTTCGAATGATACCGCCCGTACCGATCCACTAGCAAACCGGTACGCGGACCACTCGCTACCAGGTGATATCGTCGATTGGGGTTGTTTCCGCCCCGTTACCATGCGAAATCGGTCGGTGACGGTTGATTTCGATTGTCGTCACCCGCTACGGGGCGGTATTAGCCGAGGGAGAAGGAAGAAGGGGAAGAAGAAAAGAGAGAACCTGGAGATCCGTCGCCGCCCTCCCTCGCCGGACGCCGCATATGAGATGTTGCCTCCTCGTTTGAGGCGACGAGGCCTCGGTATCATCGGCGACTTCTCCTCATCCACGCGAGGAGAAAAAACGAGGCGACGTCGCCCTTCTTTTTATTTTTTAACTTATTATTATTATTATTATTATTATTATTATTATTATATATATATATATATATACATATACATATACATACATACATACACACCGAACGGTATGCCAGAGCGCATCGCTCGGTATACTCGTACCGTATCAAACTGAGCTCGATAATCTGGTACGATATAAAATTGCAAACCTTGGGTAAGACCACGCATATTGATCCTCTCCAGATGCGGCATTGGTGGGAGTGTTATGCACTTGGTTTATTCTTTAATATCCATATGCTCTGAAAGTACACAGCCATGAGTACAAACGTCATGAAATGTGAGTAATGTGCTATGTTTTGCAACAGCTGCCAGTGAAATAAGGCTGTCATGTTAGGGTCATACGAGCATGAATCTAACTATTGCCTTTTTGTTGTGTTTCTTCTCGTTTGCTTTATGAACTATTTGATTGGTTAATCTATCTGAATCCTTATCCATCATTCACTTAAGCAATTCCAGTTAAAAATTCCTGCACTGTGATATTCATTTGAATATTTGTGTTTTGGCTGCTAATTTATTTCTTTAGGTGTAAAGCTGATTTTCCTAGTTCATGGATTTCGTACGTGTTGAAGAAAACAGTCCTTAAATATGGTTTTATTGCTTTAAATTCTGATCCTGAATACAACTCACTTTGTCTGTAAGTACAAGGATGTTTTGTCTTGGTTTAGTTTCTCAATTCAATCTAATCTTGAACATTGGATTGTAGCTTAGTTCAAACTTCAAACTATAGAAGAGCATGGTTGCGTGCTTTGTAACAGAATCCTACATGGACAAAATGTTGTCATGCATGAATTATTGAGGGTATCTTTATGATGAGGACTTACTGAATTCAAATTGTTGGCATCAATTAAAAAGAATATTAGATTGCTTGATCATCAGGAAGTATATTTTTCACATATGTAAGTTGTGAACCGTGTTCCTCTCTTAATAAATACTTGCATTTACAATACTAACATATTTATACATTTACATTTTTACATACAGAATGTGTATACACATGTGTATCTTCGTTCATAGGTAGAGATGGACAAAACACGTATATATCAACCTTTTTATGCAAAAAGCATAACATGAATGGTTTAGGACGTTGTACTTTGGAAATGATAATGTTAATTTTGATAAAGCATATTCTAATCATCCATATACATGTTCATATTTAAAAGGTGAGATGAAAAGTTTCCTACCTACAAGAGGAGCATAAACTTTATCTCTACTCATAAAAAAATGACAAAATGACCATCTAACTTATGTAGACCTGCATTGACCCAAGCCTGATAGGCTAACTAACCCAACAACTTCGTTTAGCTTAAGCCACTCGTCAAAATGCTTAAGCTAAAGTTAATAATAATATACTCATCAAACTCTTATAAGCTAATTTTAATCTTACCCACTTTCGATGTGGGACTAATCGGAGTGTTACAATTTTTTCCACTCAAGGGCTTGTCGTCCTCGTCAAAGCCCAACATTACCTAGATCAAACTCTAGCATGGTACATGTGAGGCATAGCTCAATGGTGGCTCTACGCTTTGATGAGTTCTCTAACTCCATCCATGGGTAGCCTTTTTCTACTCGAGCTCTTTCACCATGCTTAAATACTAGGTTGGCTCTGATACCAAATGTCACGACCTGGGTCTGATAAGCTAACTGACCCATCAACTTCGTTTGATCTATGCCACTGGTCAAAATGCTTAAGCTGAAGTTGATAGTAGTACACTCATCATACTCTTATAAGCCAATCTTAGTTAGATTAAGATTGGCTTGTTTCTTTCCAATGTAAGACTAATCCGGGTGTTACACTAGCTATTATGTCCTCGAATAATATATAAGTTTGGCCATGGATAATATCTATATTGGCTATCATTAATGAGATATTTATGCAGAAATAACACGAATTGGATCTTGCATTGGCGTGATGCAGGAGCCATTTTTGTTTTCAATATTTTATTTTATTTACAAATGTAATAGGTTGCCATCTGGCATGCCTTTAGGCTAACTACAAAGCTTGCCCAAGAAGAAGAAATGAGATTATTGGGCTTGATTGAAGAAAGCTAATTCCAATCAAGAGTCACCTAAGTACGAAAGATCATTTGTTAAACAATTGGAAGTAGAAATTCTTTAGAAAAACAAAATGGGTGATTGATCAACCCTGATGAAAGGAATACAATATTCTAAAATTGGAGGGTTCATTTAAAGGGAAACAGGTGCTAAGCAATGAAATGGTGAAGTGTTTGAAGTTTAAATATGTAAAAAGAAGTTTTGCTTCACTAATGGTGCCATGAAGTCACCTATGTGTGAGACTTGAGGGCTCTTCATCCTTAGAAGTGATTTCTAGATCCTGAGTGAGCTTCATATTTGTTCTTTATTTTAATTCTCAAAATTATTTAATATTATCTTCTTTCATGCTAGTTAAATTTGAAACATTAATTTCAAAAAATAATAAGAAGATTTTACAGCCTTGTTGATTATTAACCAATCAGATGTTTTAGTCTCATTTTAAAATCCCTTGCATGTGTTTATCCTACATCAGTATGATATTAATAAAAACCTCAAATAATTTTGCCTACACTATTTCAACCACCCACATTTTATTGCCTCTATCCTATCAGATAACTTTGGTCAGATTATGATGAACTTACTAAAAAGTGTCTAAAGGTTAAAACATGATGCATCAATGAGGTTTATTCTATAACAAATTGGCTTGAAGAGGGTCTAAAAAGAAAAAAAGGGATTCATCTTTAAATGAAATTATAAATTTTATTTGTTATAAGCTCGTTTAAAAATTAGTGGAGACCTAGAACTTGTCTGACACTCAAATAGTTGATTCAATGAATTTGCAATTGTTAGTGCTCACTTGTATTTTCATGAATTGTGGTTGTTGATTCTTAATAATGATAAACCTTTTCCTTTTTACGCTGTGCATGGCATTATTGTTCCAATTGCAGAGCTAACTGGACATATCTGTTATTTTTGGATTGAGCATTAAGTTCTACTAGGATTGTACACAGGGATGGTTGTATATATTCCCGGAGAACTGATAGTTTAATTATGCACTAGGAAGCGACGTTGTTAAGAAGAGGTGAGGGATGAGAAGAAAGACTTCACACAAAGGAGAAGAAAGTATTGCTCGTTGTTATATTCCCTTGCTCCACAATGCTATTTATACAAGTTTACAAAGTTGTCAATATCCTAAATCAAGGGTGATCATGATCAATCACCCTATTAGCTTAGGTATGAAACCAATAAGTCAATGATTTTAGAGGAATTATTTCCCTAGCTGATGTGAACACAATAATATGAAGATTATTTCTTTATAGGCCCCCGTAAGATTGGTCTTCCATCATGAATACTAATCTTGGAACAATGTCAAGTAAAATGTTGATGTGATAGCGGCTTCGTTAAGGAGTTTGCAAGTTGTTTGGCAGTATGAACATGGCTAACATGGAGTTGCTTCTAAGAAACTTGGTCACGAACAAAATGAAAGTCAATGACTATGTGCTTCATTTGCGAGTGAAAGACTGGATTAGCACAAAGGTAAATAGCACCAACATCGTCACAATATATAGTTGGAGGAGATGATTGTCCAATTTGAAGTTCACGAAGCAAGTTCTGCACCCAATTAATGTCAGCAGCAGTGGATGCAACAGCATGGTATTCAGCCTTTGTAGACGATCGAACAATAGTTTTTTGTTTTTTTGAACTCCAACTTATTGGGTTAGCTCCAAGAAAAATAATACAAGCAGAGGTCGACGTCCACTTATCAAGATTTCCAACCTAGTCTACATCAACAAAAGCTTGAAGACTTAATGGAGAGTCTTTACAAATTAAAAGACCGTAGTTTAAACTTTAAAGTACCTTTTGGGTAATGAAGGAACTGCTTGACTGCAGTCCAATGGTTTGATGATGGCCAATGTATAAACTGAGATAGTTTGTTGATTGCAAATGAAATATCTGGTCGAGTGAGGGAAAGTAACTGCAGGGCACCAAGTGTAGAGCGATAAAGAGTAGCGCCAACTAGGGGTGAGCCATCATTAAGCTTCAAGGTGGATGATGTGGACAAGGGACTGAAAACTTCTTTGGCACTATCCATCTTAGCCCTGTCAAATAAATCACGTACATACTTGTGTTGTGATAAGAAAAGCCCGAATGAGGTAGGTACTGTCACAACACCAAGAAAGTAATTTAGGAGACCAAGATCCTTGATAGAAAAGCTGTTGGAGAGGGCACTTATTAATTGTCACACAAAGTCAAGCGAGCTCCCTATAATTATAATATCATCTACATAGACAAGTAGAAGTAGAGTGATATTGCCATAGTGAAGAATGAATAATGATGAATCAGATTTTGAGTTGACAAAGTCGTATGATTCCAAATATTTGCGTAATTTAGTGTACCATGCTCGTGGTGCCTAACAAAGTCCATAAAGAGTTTTTCTTAGTTTATATGCATGTGTAGGGAAGTCAGAGTTAATAAATCATGGAGGCTGTTGCATATAAATAGTATCAATAAGAGTGCCCTGTAGGAAGACATTATTGACATCTAGTTGCCCCAACGGCCAACCACAAGAAATAGCAATAGTGAGAACAATTGGTTGGTTTTACAATTGGGCTAAATGTATCAGTAAAGTCGATGTCAGGTTGTTGGTGAAATCCCTTTGCTACCTAATGAGATTTATATCTTGCTATAGACCCATCAGGATTCCATTTGATATGAAAAATCTATTTACACCCAACATGAGAGATAGGAATTCCATTACCATCACCAATAATTGTATTATCTGTACCACCATATTCTAAATGCATGGAGAGATTCTGCAGATCAAATATGAAGTGATGAGAAACACCGGAGTCCATCACCCAACTTCTATTATTACTATAAGATCCATTGGTCATGAAATTGGCTTGCAGCTTGTATAGTGGTTGTGGTCGTGACTTGCACATTTTGGCACTCTGACAGATCTTGTTGCAAAGTTGACAAACAACTTTCGGTTGATTGTTATATGGAGGATGCCAATTTGGATTGAAGCCACCTTGATAGGGTTTGTTATTAGCAAAATTCTTGTAGTTTTGATGTTGCCCTTTGTTAGCTTGTCCCTTTTGATTTGGATAGCCACCATTGTTTCCTCCTTTGTTTTTGTTGTTGGATTTTTTGTTATATTGAGCAGTGATGATTGCTTTTTCCTTCTTGGGCTCTTCTTGATTGAGAAACCTCTCATGATCAGAGAGCTTATCATAAAGCTCTTCAAATGATTTAGGTGCATCTAGAGCCCTTATTGCAGCATTGATTTCTTTGTACTCATCACCAAGATTATTAAGAATAGCAATAATAATCTCATCTTCATCTGAAGGAAATCCAATAAGTGCCAAGTCATTAGCACTTATTGTCTTTACCTTGATAGAACGCATATATTCGTCAATTGTCTTTCCCTCCTTTGTTGTTTTTGCAAGAGTGCTCATTAGACCAAGCATCCTTGTGCTGGATTTCTTGGCATAAATTTTCTCAAGTTTGGACCAAGCTTCGACTGATGATGTTGCGGAAGAAATTAAAGGAATGACTTGATCTGAGATAGAGGCTGTGATAGCATGAAGTAGGAGTCTATCTTGTCTTTTCCAAAGCTTCCATTCTGGGTTTGCAATAAGATCCTCCTAGGTTTTGATTATTTCAGGAAGGCACATGCTTGTTCCATCGATGAAGCCGATAAGATCATAGCCATAAAGCAGGTTGATTACTTGAGATCTCCAAGAGGTATAGTTGAGCTTGGTGAGTTTCAATGGAAGTTTTAATGTGGGGTTGATGGATACCGAATTGTTGGTTTGAAACTCACCAAGCTCGGTCGTGAAGATGGAGTTAAAGATTAAAAAAAAAAAAAGTTTGAGAAGAAACTTTGGTTACCTTGTTTGAAGGGTGAAGAAGGATGTATTGCTGCGATTGTGGATTTGGTTGCAGGTGTGCAGTGGCTGTGGACAATGCTTGTGGGTGTTGTACCTCAAAGAAGATACTTTTAGGAGTTGGAAATGATAACTAGAGGCTTTGATACCATAAAGAGAGGTTAGGGATAAGAAGAAAGACTTCACACAAAGGAAAGGAAAGTATTGCTCGTTGTTATATTCCCTTACTGCACAATGCTATTCATACAAGTTTACAAAACCTGTCAATATCCTAAATCAAGGGTGATCATAATTAATCAGCTTCTTAACTTAGGAATGAAATCAATAGGTCAATGATTGTAGAGGGATTATTTTCTTAGATGGTGTGAACACAATAATATAATTGTAGCGGGATTATTTCCCTAGATGATGTGAATACAATAATCTGAAGATTATTTCTTTATAGTTGTATCAAGTGGTACCTCAGGAACTGGTAACAAGATTCATGGGCAACCAATATATTCTGCATCATATTACAAACGGACTGCATAACTTTGAGCATCCCAATGCAGGATATTATCGTCTTCTCCTTGCTGACAAGGATATGTGCACACAAAGTGCACAGACATAATAATCTTTAGGTGTATCTGTTGTAAAATGAGACAATAAGATGCATATGTCCTGGATTACCATAGATATGGGTGGAGGGAATTAAGATTATGATCATTGGCGAACATGTAGTTCTTTGGTAGGTAAAGTGAGGATATAGTTAGGAGTGCCGTGTTTAAGGATTCGCAACATTACAGAATGAAGTAATGAAGATTGAGGAATCTATTTTGTGTCTTATTATCTTGTTATGCAGTGATGATCAGGGGACATGTCTAAATCAAATGACGAGGGACAGCTGATAAGAACTAGGTCATCTTCAAGCTGATTAGCCCTGAAGTTGGTTAAAATAACTGAGGTTCCTACTTGCTAGTCCCTCTGATGCTTAAGAAAGTCTTTTGTCTAATATGATGAAAAAGATAAAGAGAGACTGTTGAGGTAGGAAAAAGAATTCCAGAGGTTGGTTGCCTCATTAGGAAGTAGATCAACTTATAAACATGTGGTGAATGATTAGTAAGTATATCATATGCCAGGTTGGTCCAGGTAGTTGGCAGGACCTGTCAGGCAATTGAGCAGGAATTTCTATGGTTTTTTTATTGCCAACTTTTCTTATTTTTAGTGGTCAAGTTTTAGATCAGGTTGGTCAATATTCGGGTTGGATTTTTCCCATGCTAAAGGAGATGATACATAATGACAAGACAAATCGATGTCGTGTGCTGCAAATTGTTCCTATGATATATACCTTTTACATTGTAACTGATCAGTATCTAACATGGTTGAGTTATCAAACTTTTTTGTTATTTAATATTTCATAATTCTGATTAATTGTGGTTGAATATTCATAACTTATGTTGCTAGCCAGGTTTTGGCTGTTAAGAAGATAGAGGCATTAAGTTTATCTGGGAGGTCTTCTTATAACTTTAAGGAATTAGTCTCTGGCATTTCCAAGCTGCACCATCCAAACATTGCTGAACTTCTGGGCTATTGCTCGGAGCCTGGTTACCAACTTTTAGTCTACGAACTCCAACGGAATGGTTCTCTTCATGGTTTCTTACATTTGTCGGATGATTATAGCAAACCATTGACTTGGGAAACTCGAGTAAGAATTGCTCTTGGGACAGCTTGTGCTCTAGAGTAAGTAGATATCGTTAACATGCCATTTAAGTGGAAATTGCATGATAGTGATAATGAGCATGTATTTTCTCCCTTGTACGTCTAATTTACATTGCATATTATCTTCTACCACATATATTCATTGTCAAGTCAGGCTTTGAACAGAATGAATAATCAGCAACTGTTGTTAATGTTTCCAAAAGTAAATGAAACGCAGTCACTATTTTTTCTCTTTGCAGCATCAAGTCTTGTGAAACATAGTTTATGTTACAAAATTTGTAAGTTAAGAACTTCTTACAGTTTAATTTTGCAAACTAAGCAATACTTTCTGATTCTGTTCTATGATTTTTAAATGTGAGTATGTTAGCTCTTTAATCTGTTATTCTGTGGTTAATAAATCTAATATATCTGAGCAAATTTACACATGCAATGCTAAGAGTCAAATAGTTGTCTGGTTAAATTGTTGAGTGCCTTTTGTGCAGTTTTGCAATTGGAAATGTACCTAAAGACCGTGCTTCTCTGCAGTAAATTGCTAATTAAGAAAGAGAACTATTACATCCTAAGCTCTGCTCATCAGAGCTCAAAAAAGAAGATAGAGAAGGAGGTCAGGTGTCCCTCCGCAAAACCTCTATCTGATTACATTTGGCATGATTAGCTAACCGATGAACACACGGATTAACCTTTCTACGAACGTGAATTACCTTCCAAGCCTGAAACTTGCTCAACATGAACTTTTATTACTGAGTATTTCTGCAATACTATCTACTGCATTCCATAACAAACAAAAGGAAGAAAAGTATTTGGAAAAGCAATGATTTACTTGTGTTTGGCCTCTCAATCATACCTCAAGTTATGATCATCAATTTAGGAAGCCTGTATTTCAGTTTCAAAATAGACTATCATGGGATTCCCTAAATTTGAAGTTTTTGTAACCTTCTTCACATGACTGAGTCATCCAATTGTGCAGTACGATTATCCTGTGAATTCTAAATTTTGTCTAGACACAGAAGGGAGGACTAGCATTTTCTTTATAAGATGATTGTGATAACCTATTCCAAAGACTCAGTAGACACCTATTCTGGTCAGTTTTTCATGAGAGATGCAATACACTAGATGGCTTTATTGGCATATAATTTACTGATCACTATATTCAGCCAAAATAGTTGAACAAAATTGCCAAAATTTCAACATGGTCAATCTTCATGTTTCTCAGTATACCAATTTTATCATCCGGTATTTCTCAGTAGAACATGAGTCTGCTACCATATTGTACATATCTGCCTATTTAAATTGACAATCACTTTATGCTTGTTCAGGTACTTGCATGAAGTCTGCTCCCCATCTGCAATTCACAAAAACATCAAGTCTGCAAACATCTTGCTTGATGCTGAGCTAAACCCACGCTTGGCTGATTGCGGTCTAACAGTCTTCTTTGAGGTTTCAACTAAGTTCACTTCCATCGTGTGATGCAACCATGCTTGACTTTTGGGCCACAATTCTGAGTCACTGACTTCTGTCTTTTTGCAACAGGATACAAATGATAACTTGGGCCCTGGATACAATGCTCCTGAATGCACAAAACCTTCTGCCTATACAATTAAGAGTGATGTCTACAGCTTTGGAGTGGTCATGCTAGAGTTGTTGACAGGTCGTAAGCCCTACGACAGGTAATCAAATACAGGGCTAGTCACTAGAATCTTGATTTGTGGAGCTAGGATTTGGTTTTTTTTCTGTTTATCAACATGTAGTATTGCAATCTGCTGAGATGTGGAGATCTTTAATATCAAATATCATTGATTTGTGAAGGCACACAGAAATGATCTTTCACTTAGGCTAGTCCATTGAAGCTATTGAGATTTTTTTTTTCATTATAAGAAAAACGAATAAGGGCCATTGGCTATTTACTTGGGGCTTAGATGCTTGATCTTTTTTTTCTTATACTTGTTACATTTTAATCACCATTTAGAGACCAAAATGTGCATTGAATAAGGACAAACTGTCTAGAGATCATTTACTTATCTGCGTAATTCCTATGTTATTCTGTTGCAATTCAACTTCTATATGGATGTCGTGCATTCGAGGACCCACTGCTTGTGGTTTCACCTTCATTCCATTATTTGAACTTTTCTTTTAAATTTTCAGTTCTAAGCCAAGACTAGAGCAGTCATTAGTTCGATGGGCAGCACCACAACTTCATGACATCGATGCATTGGCACGGATGGTGGACCCTGCACTGCGGGGACTTTACCCGCCAAAGTCACTATCTCGATTTGCTGATGTTGTTGCTCTCTGCATCCAGGTAAAGTGCTTTCTACGCCTCTCCATTTTACTACAGTCACTGCTTGAGAATCTTGATAAGTGAGACAATTCTTCACTGCACATCTTAAGCATGACACCATGCAGTTCACAAATAACCTTTTTTTCTTATTGAGATCAACAATCATGTATAGATTTGTCCTGAAACCATTATATCTGCAGTGGTGCTACTTGCCATTTTATTCACAGGTCACTTATTTCTGTGTTTCTTTTGATTGATCCAGTCTGAGCCTGAGTTCCGTCCTGCAATGTCCGAGGTGGTGCAAGCGCTGGTTCGTTGCGTTCAACGCCCTAGCTTTAACATGAGGATGGGTGGAGATATGAGCACTTCTCGCAGGAGCGATGATTCTGATTATGGATATAATTGAGGACTTCTTGAACTCACTGAATTTTTTATCCTTTTCAGAGCATCACAATCAATTCCATTGAATTGCTTAGTTGTCATGTTCATTGATATACGACGCTCATTGTTATCTTCACATTTCACGAGTAATTAGCCATTTGGATATGTTTTTTCTCTATTGGTGAAAGAGGAAGCTGAATTTATTAATCAAAACAACATACCGTAGCTGCTGAAATTAAAATTCTTCATGTAGTATAGTAATATGTAAAGTATATTGGAGTTTTCATGTAAATGTATGGAGATGGAAATGACTTATGAAAGTCTTTACTAGTTAAAATTCATATTTACGATTCGTAAGCAAAAAAAATCTGAATCAAACATTTGATTATTGTACGAGGTTGCAGATGCCAATAGGAGTGATATTTTTGGATTCGGGAGGCCATTGTACATTTGGTTTTTCTTTTCTAAAATTATAAAAAATAAGAATGTAATTTTAATGTTACATTAAGTATTGTCTTATATATTTTATATCTAAAACATCAGTAATGTATTAGATTTACTTCAAAATTTTATCCAATATATTTACATCTTAAATATTATATTATCGGATCTAAAAAAAAAAGTTAGGCTTAATTGTCATGTCATATCATGTCATGTTGCGTGGATATTTATAAGTCATATCATATCATGTCATGTTGCGTGAAAATAATAAAAATATTTTAGATATTTAAAGAATACAAATTTCAATTTATAATAATCATGATTAACAGAAATAACATAATTGAAAGATTTAAATCTTCTATATATATATATATATATATATATATATGGAGGGGTAATGAGATTATTTTCAAACTTTGAAAGGATTGATATGTAAAACCCAAAAAATAAAAAGCCTTCTTTAATCCTTCCCGTTGGATACTCTCACCACGCACTCCACCCTCTTTAGCCGGTCATAAGAGGCGGCGGGGACGACAGGCCAACGCGCGGGAGATCCCGGTGACCAAGTTGGTGATCTTCCCCTCCTCTGCCTACTCTTCTTCCGCTTCTCTCCCCGTCGCCGGTATTTGGGATCCGTCGAATCGGTTGGGATCGGCCGATTCCTTTTTTACTGGCGGAGAAGATAGCCGATCCCGACCCGCACACAGGAAAGCATCGTCAAATCCATTCTATCTCGAGATCGTAGCATCTTCTTGAAGCATCTTCGTCTACGCCGGCAAATGGAGCACCCCGGCACTATCCGGGCTCCACCGGCCACCCCTAGGAAGAACAAGGAGGACCAGCGCGCGAAGAGGAGCGCAGCCACTAGTAGCCCTCCAGCGCCGGCGAGCTCCTCTCGGTGCACTCGCTCGCAGGCCGCCCCCGACTGGACCACCTACGAATCGCTGGTGCTCGTGGGCGAGATCGCCGCCATGGACGAGGACTGGCTCAAGGCTCTCTCCTCCTACCAGAAGTGGAAGATGATCTCCGACAACTGCGTTGCCCTGGAAGTCGTTCGATCCTCTAACCAGTGCAAGCGGCGGTGGGAGTCGCTGCTCGCCGGGTACCGGAGGATCAGGGAGTGGGAAGCCAGTCACGGGGAGGGCTCCTACTGGGTTTTGGATGGCGATAGAAGGCAGCAGCTGGGGCTCCCGACTTGGTTCGACCGGGAGGTCTTTAGCTCCATGGGCGCGGTTCTTAAGCTGCAGGAGGACTGGGCGGGGCGGGGCGAGGCCGATCCAGAATATGTTGTTGATGCAGCCGGTGCTTCGGAGGACCTGCTTCTGTCGGCGGAGGCGGAAATGCTGGATGTCAATAATGCTCAGGGTATATTTACAACTTCCATTCTGGCCATTAACCTTTTCGTTTGTTTGCCGGGAAGATATAGATTTATCAATCGTGAGCATAGGTTGGCATCATACAAGTAGTTGAATTCTATATATCGCGAATGCATCCTGTCATAATATACGCAATTCCAAGACTTGTTTACCAATGAAGAAAAGAAGTAATTGCTGCAAATTGCATAGGAAGAAATTCAACATATATAAACTGTTTTTCCATTGGCGTCCGTAAACATAACTGGGAAGTGGAATATTTTGTATGTATTTATTGATGCAATTTTAGATTCTCTTTTCCTCATACTCGGTGAATCTCTGTCCAAAACGCTTGGGTAAAAGCTTGCTATATTTTGGCTATGTAGTATTTATGATGAATGACTACCAATGTGTTTTAGCTATTCATAAGTGTCAGTGTGTGCCTGTTGATGCATACTTCTGAATATCTCCATGCAGTTAACACGTTATTATGACTTACTAAGTAATTGACTTGACAAATTATAAGCTGAAAATTTTAGCTTAGCCAAAGCAATCTGTAATATTATTTAGGAGCTTCCTTGCTAGTCCACCTTTTACGTAAGAATGTTATTAGTCTTATGACATCTTTTGATAAAATGCATTGTTGGATGCTAGAGAAACCAGTCAAAGTTTGCACAGGCAAAGTAAATAGCCACTCGTGCCTTGCCATGCCATATCTGTGGCACCGGCTGTCAAATGTTTGTGCTTGTGCCTGGTTCTATTTATAGCCACAATTTTTTCTGCTGGTCGTTACTTGCATGACCACTATCTTGGAATGGCAGACAACTTTGTTCAGCGGTTTATGTTAAGCTTCTCCATTTCATGCCACCCTGCATATTCTACCTCAAGGTTTGGTATGTTTCTTCTGTGCCTCCTAAAGACTAGCTGTATCCCCTTTGGAATGTCTTTTCTTTTATTATTTGTATTACCTGGTTTTGTTTATGACCAAGTGTCTTGTGCTGGTCCGTAACTTGTGACCACTATCTTGGAATGGCTGACAACTTAGTTCATTACCTTTTGTTTTGCTTCTCCATTTCATGCAACTCTGCAATTTCCACCTCAAGGTTTTCTGTATTTCTTCTATGCCTCTCCTAAAGATTATTTATGTTCCCTATGGAATGTCTTCTTTTTTATTTATTCCCTACATTTTCAAGTGTTGCACCCAGCATCGATTTTTCTTTCTCGCAAATACCATCAGAACTATTAAGAAAAAGTTAAATTTCTCTACTGCTGTATATCTTTTTATCAAACTCTCATTGTATTGCTTGCTAGGTGTTGTCTTTCGCATATGGCATATATCTCTTAAAAGACCAAGTACTCTTCTAGGAAACTGTTCCACCTCAGTAGTAGTACATTCTGCTACTGCCATGATGAAATAGCATATGCTTGGACAAGTTTAAAATTCTAACCTCTAAAGCCTTTGTCCAACAAACTTGGGACTCAGACTATGGAGTTTGATGATTATACTCCATATTTATAACCTCTCTATTTTTTTTGGTGCCATTAAGTTATTTCATGTCGAACGTTTCAGGTTCTAAGGAGAACTCAGAGGATGAGGTTCAGAAGGATAGAGAAAAGACACGAGACATGGCAAGTAAGCTGCAGGAGAGTGCTCAGCAAATTCATGCCATACTAAGAGAAGAACTGGAAGATAATCTTGGTCTGGATACTTCTCCAGTGGATTTGTCAAAGCCCAATGCTGCAGGGATAGAGTTTACTAGGCGCCAAGCTGATCGGCTGATCAAAGCTTTTGGGGGGCTTGCTGACACTCTGAATCAATTCACTGAGCTGATCAGATCTTCTGATTGTGAAAGCATCAAAGCCATTGACTCAATGGCATTATGAGACAATTTTCTCATAAAGTTTTGCTGCAGCAGGTCAGATCTCGCATACGGGAACAATTATGTTGTAAACTGATATATTTATAACTTGAATTGCAAAAATTCTCGTCTTTGAGCATGCTGTTTTTGTTCCTTTTGACTTGTATTAATCCTGACAGTTTTAAGCTAAATTACTTGATCGAGATGTGAAGAAACTGCTATCTGTTTCTTGAAGCTTGATAATTACAGCCAAGCCAGCAGACTTTCATGAATCTCAACTGGCTTACTGTGATATTGGCTTCTGTTTTATCTTACCTACAAATGGATTTCCTCTGCTTATTGCTCAGGCATCTATTCTCCACTGCACTAAAACCTGTGGGGGGTAATACAATTTGAAGCCCTGTCCTTTGTGAATGGCTGACCAATGTTTGGTAGTGTTTCAACATGATGAAGATTGCATGCTATTCATGTTTGTACTTTGGTGATGCATGTGATTTAGTCGTGCTACATTTATGTTCTAAAGGTAGGCAAGGCGCCAGCGCAGACTCGCTCTTATGGTTTTCTTGCTCTCTTATTAAGAGGTAATCCGCTTGTGCAAGTCTTCAATCATTGTAGATCAAAATAGCTGATAGTATTTAACAAATTCATATGGCCTGTATTTTTAACTCTTTGTTTTGGTTCCAGTGCAGTATCCATTCAAAAATGAACTCCTCATCAAGTTCACTTTTGTCATGAGGATCTACTGGAAGTCTGATACTATACTGCAATGGGATTTATCAGCTTATCGAAGGTGACTTACAGTTATATGAATCTCTTCGACACTTCAGTTTATCATTAGAAAAATGACATGAATTTATGTACTTCAAAAATCTTATCCTCATTTGTTAACTCATCCAACTCTTTGAAGCTGATGTCTAAAATCATTTACAGAATATGGAGACTCTTCTATACTGTCAAACTTGTATCTTTATAGCTAATGCTTACTGTGCAGCTTGTATCTTTTAGTCTCACATGCTGAAGTCAGCTATGTTTCGACCTAGAATTGGATCTGCTTATTATTTCATTCTCAACTCTTGCAAGAGGATTTCTTTTGTCATCAAATCAGAAATTGTTGATTCATCCAACTCAACAGGAGCTAAAACAGCTATGTCAATAAGGGGTTTAGCTAGTGCTGCAAATATTTTATTATGCTCTAATCTTAATAGAACCCTATATCGATGTTTAGTACAGAAATTCATGGATTAATTTACTTTTGCTGAAAATATAGCACATCCTTGTAATGCAAATCAAATAAAAGAATTAACATGTGGAAATCAACACATGCCAAGCCAACACAACATTTCCTAATTCTCCATGGATTGATATATTATTCATCAGACTCTCTTTGTGCTCATCATCTTATGCTTAGCTGCCGCCTGATGCGTCCTTCCCCCGACGTGATCACCACAAACCCACCACCATACTGTGAAAAGCGTACTCTGTCAATATATTCTTTCTTAAAATAAGCTACTGAGCAGCTATCATGTTTCGTAAACTACTTATCCTAAATATTTACATCTAAAAAATTAGTTGAGTATTATTGCTCGACATGACTCACTTGCATCTAAAATATTGTGGAACAGAGGGTGATCAGATGTTAAGCCGATGTGGGGTACAATTTTGGGTACCGAAGACGGGGGCGGGGGGTGGTGTGTTGCTCTGGGAACAGCTCGATGCCTTTTTTGAAGGCACAGTTAGACGTGCCAAGTGGAACACTTGAATACCTTCTATTATCTCCGCTCACCAACCAACATTTTTGTTTTATTTTTCTTGTTCCATATAATTCTATTTTTAGGCGTTCCCACGTCCACCCCTGTCTCCTCCACCACCCTCCCTTCTTCCCCCCATCGCTCAACCCCTCTCCCTCTCTCCTAAGCCATGCCATCTAAATCTGTCCTCCTTCGCGATCCTATCCATTGCACCATTGACGGCCTACGTTGCCCACCACCTGTTCGCCGCTAGGCCCCGGAGCGGCGCCATGGCCGACCAGGCCACGCCATGGCCTCTGCGGCCCCTGCTGCTCCCCTTCCCCTTCCCCCTCCCCCTCCCCCCCCTCCCTCCTCCTCCTCCTCCTCTTCCTCCTCCTCGCGCCGTTTCAGGACGCCGCCGCCGATGCGGCCCGCGACGCCGACGTGCTCCTCAAGTTCAAGGAGACGCTGGCCTCCGGCGGTGGCGACGTGGCGTTGCACAACTGGGTCGCGGGATCCAGCCCGTGCAGGGCGAACGTCACGCAGTGGGCCGGCCTGCTCTGCAACCTGGACGGCAGCGTGCGTGGGCTGCAGCTGGAGAACATGAGTCTGTCCGGCGCGCTGACCACCGACGTGCTCGTGGACCTGCCGGCCCTCCGCACCCTCAGCTTCAAGAACAACAGCTTCGAGGGGTCGATCCCGGACATGTCCAAGCTCCGCGCCTTGAGGTCCCTATACCTGTCCGGGAACAAGTTCTCCGGGGCGATACCGGACGCCATGTTCTTGGGGATGCAGTGGCTGAAGAAGGTGCACCTGTCTCGGAACGCATTCACCGGGCGCATCCCGGGCTCGCTGGTGGGGGCGGCCAGGCTGCTGGAGTTGAGGCTGGACGACAACCAATTCGAGGGCCACATTCCGGACTTCCGGCAATCGGGATTGTGGCTAGTGAACGTGTCGTACAACAACCTCGAGGGCCCGATCCCCCACCGGCTCGCCAAGATGAGCCCTAATTGGTTCGAGGGTGCGTCTTCCTCCTCTGCATTTGCATAACAAGTCTTCATATGCATGCTTCGAACCAAAAGTAAGCTTTTTGGATTTGTGGCTATCTAATTACAATATTTATCCCAAAGTTCTGCATATGAATCTGTCCTCAATCATATTAGGAATGATGGTTGTATCGATCAGTTTTCTTGATTGATTAAGAACGAAGAATCGAATTCAACAACAACAACAAGGATTGATTTCTCTTTTCATCTGATTAGGGTGATTAGGTGACTTCATTGGGCTTTGATCCTTCGAAAGCATCATTTGGGACAATCCATCCGATATTTATATGTTGAGAAAACAAAATCCTTTTCCTCTTCCATTTCTCAAATGATTCTGTGAAGCTTTCGTGTTTAAGACGAGAGAAAACATCACATGAACACCTTTCAGATTCATTCATAGAGTAAGCGATGCTTATCAGCTCAAACTGACGCTTTCTCACCCATGCAGGCAATGAAGATCTCTGCGGCGCACCTCTCAGCGACGCATGCGGGTCGCCTTCAACGAAGCTCTCGGCGGCGCTCATAATCGCCATCATATCGATAACCATCTCGATACTGCTAGTCGTTGCAGCGCTGATCCTTATCGCGCGGCGCCGGGAGAAGGAAGAAGAAGCACAAACAACCCAACTCCCGTCCAGTAAATCCATAAAGATCGAGCACCTGCCGGCAGACAAGCCGGATCATCGCCCAGCGCACCACGGCGGAGGGAAGAAGGTGCCCAAGGAGGAGCAGGGCAAGTTGATATTCGTGAAGGAAGGCGCGGTGAAGTTTGACATCCAAGACCTGCTCAGGGCGTCGGCCGAGGTTCTCGGCAGCGGCAACTTCGGGTCCTCTTACAAGGCCATTCTGCTGGAAGGCCCGGCCGTGGTCGTGAAGAGGTTCAAAGAGATGAACGGAGTCGGAAGAGAAGACTTCCACGAGCACATGAGGAGGCTGGGAAGGCTGTCTCACCCCAACCTTCTTCCCCTCGTGGCTTACTACTACCGCAAGGAGGAGAAACTGCTGGTCACCGACTACGTCTTCAATGGGAGCTTGGCTCACATGCTTCACGGTAAGTAAGCCCATACAGAGACCTTTCCTCGAACACGTGTTGGGCACCACGACATGACACATTTCACGTCACCCGTGCGTTCAGGCGGCCATGGGTCGAACCTTCCGCCGCTGGACTGGCCTGCGCGGCTCAAAATAATCAAAGGCGTCGCCAGAGGCCTCGCCTACCTGTACGAGGAGCTGCCGATGCTGACGGTGCCCCACGGCCACCTCAAGTCCTCCAACGTCCTCCTCGACTCCGCCTTCGAGCCCATCCTGTCGGACTACGCCCTCGTGCCGGTGATGAACAGGACCCACGCCTCGCAGATCATGGTGGCCTTCAAGTCCCCCGAGTGCGTGCAGAGCGGGAAGCCGTGCAAGAAGAGCGACGTGTGGAGCTTCGGGATACTGATGCTGGAGATACTGACGGGCAAGTTCCCGGCGAACTACCTGCGGCAGGGGAGGGTGGGCACGGATCTGGCCAGCTGGGTGAACTCGGTGGTGAGGGAGGAGTGGACGGGCGAGGTGTTCGACAGCAACATGAAGGGGACGCAGGGAGGGGAAGGGGAGATGCTGAAGCTGCTCCACATAGCCCTAGCCTGCTCCGACACGGACGCCGACAAGCGATGCGAGCTGGGGGAGGCGCTGGCCAAGATCGAAGACTTGAAGGAGTACGACGACGGCCACTCCCTGGTCGTGGGCTGACTGACACCCAACCGTTCCTACTCCGCTTTCTTTCTCGGCAAATAATATATGTATGTCTCCGTATGTATGCATGTGTGTATGTAATTGAGGGTTGCGAACGTGAGTTGGTTTGTGATATACGATGGACTTCGACAAACACTTTTGTGTACCTTATTCTTCTAAAAGGTGGACGTCTCAGATGTTAACGGTGGCGTAGCTTCGTGCGACGTGATAGGTTCGCTGCGCTAATTATATATGTAATTAATTAATTTAATATTTCGATTTTTTTACTTTTAAAAATTATATTGAATCTTTATAAGATAGTTAATTTTAATATTTCGATTTTTATTTTTAAAAATTATATTAAGATCCCTATATTTATAAGAGTGAAATATTTAACCTTATTACTTTAGAAAAATCTTTCATGTGAAATTATCTGTTAATCCTATATAGGAATCTTAATGTTTTACTTTCGTAAATATAGGAATCTCGATATAATTTTTTTAAAATATAAAGATCAAAATATTAAAAATAGTTAATTAATTAAATTAATTTTATATTATTCAATATAGTTAATTATTTTTAGTTTTTTATTTTATATACTTTAAAAAATTATATTGGTATTCATATAATTATGAAAATGGAACATCTATATCAATTTATCCTAACGATGATAATAAAAAAATATAAAAATAAAAAAAAATTTTAATATTCAATCCGTGATGGATGACGTCGATGGTGAGAGACATGGCATCACTAGCATGGTAGTTATTTAATTACCTCCGACGATGATATGATCCGCTTTAATAACGAGGTTTTTGGAGCGGTTATTGGGAAGAGTTGGTAGCTGATGGATACGACAGCGAGTTCCCAAATGGAGCAGAAATGATCATGGATTAACTAATATACATACTGCTGTAAGCATAGTTGAAACCTATAAGAACAAGGATCAAAAGACATTGGTAGTATTCTTGTTGTTTGGGGATTTTAGAGTCAAAGATTCCAGATCAGCCCGTTCATGTCGTCTTGTGACCTGAAGATAGGGTGTTAATTCATACCTTCCCCAGTTCAATATATTGACCTTAACTATGCTGCATATTTCTTCGTAATCTGTTTGTGGTTATTCCAGTACAAAATTGTTTGATGAACTTTATGACATGGAGTAAGCCCTCCTGACATCGCTCACTCTACTTAAAAACCTGTTGTTTGAGTTCCTTGGCGATGCCCATTAAGGAAAAGTATGAGGACGATTTTGTTCCCATTAGTGCTTTCATTTATCCTGATTCCCAAATTTGTCTCTACGTAATGACCGACCAAAAGGAACTCAATCTTTTATATTTGACCAGTTCATGGGGTGAAGCTAACCCACATGATAAGTTATACTTTGGGTCAAGGACACATATGCCATTGCACACTACAGTCGGGTCAGGGGAGTACCCCCACACGCTAAGTCAAAATCGATACCGACGTCGGATCAGCAAGAGGAGCACCCCCATACGCTAAGTCAGAATCCGTACCGAGACAGTAAGTCTTGTCCCGGAAGCTCAGGATGGTGCCGTCTGACGCCATCCTGTGCGTCCCGGGACAATGGGCGCATAGTACTGTCTCATCCCCCGAGGATCAGCCACCACGTCGAATCCGCGTGCGACCGACCCTCGTACAATAATATAAAAACCCCTGACCGACATCCAACTAGAGGAGAGACAAAAATAATTCAACCCACAACTGATTTACTCGTCGAAGGGGCCAAAGTTGGGAATCATCTGACGAAAGCCATTCTTGCAGGAAAGCGACTACCATCGAGCCGCGAGCGTCTCAACCTGGGAATTGTCATCCAGTGTACGAAGGCGGGCTGCCAACCAGTCAGGAAACAGAGAGATGTTATTTAATGTAGACGGTACTTGGACCGAGAAACGCTGATCAACACCCCGTCGCGAGGGCCCGACCTACCTCGGCGCCCAACTCAGCAAGCAAAAGACTCCCGATATCGACTCGTGGACCGAGCCGTACTGACTCACCAGCCATGACATATTTGTTCACCAACACCACACGTTATTATGTCATTAAGTCAGTTAATAATCTATAGAAGAATCGAAGTATGGCATCACAAAAATACTGTAAACCTATAGAAAAACAAACTAGTTCAAAAGTTAATATAAACTAATTTATCAGATTGAATTTTAAATATATATTCTTCTTTGTTTATTTGGCTTAAGTGGATCAGCTAATGGAATCTAAAATAAACACCACTAATAACCATCCTCGGCGATGACTGTGTTACGATGCTTTATAACGGTATTTTGGACCGCGGCACGCCGAGATGATGAGAACTACGAACGTTATGACCTCAAGACACGTCAGAGCCTACTCCCTGCGGTCCCACGTAACGAGCCGCATACTGACACGTCAACAAACCGTCAACGAAAGCAAAGCGGAGGGGGGAACAGCTGAACCTGGAAGAGTCCCACGTGGCGAGAAAGCGGAAGCCAACGACATAAAAGCCGTAGCTTCCTCCAGCGACGCACTACCGACGGGTTCGTCGATTACCCTGGAAGGGGCCCACGAAAGTCATCCAGCGAAACCCTCGTTGCTACCGGTCACCGGGCAGGTACGCGAGTGGGTAACTTATAAACATATAGAGAAACGCTTTCGAGCCGTCTCTTCTTTCTACTTCGAGTTATGCGCATCGGATGGCAACCCCCAAACTTTTCCCTGCTTTTCTCCGTTGGTCGGTGCGGATCCAAATCGACATCCATTACCCGACGCCTTAAATCCCCTAAATAACCCCATCGCCCAACCTATTGCTTACCCCTTCTTCGGGCATAATAGGCTGTCTTGAGGAGAGGGGCGTTCTGGTTATTATGACCAAACGACGATGGCGTTTTAGTCGAGCCGTCCCCTTTCCCGTCCCTCCTCTTTTGTCCCTATGTCTTTTTGCATCTCTCTTTTCTTTTACTTTCCTTTTTATTGCCCACTGCATCGACGTTGTGCTGAAGCGCATCGACTTAGGGAGAAGCGCAGGCAGGCAGGCAGGCAGAGGGCGGCGCGATGAAGAAGAGCCCGTCGGAGTTGGCACTGGAGGCGTTTTTCCGGGCGGACGGCGGCGACGTCGACGAGCTGAGCTCGCCGCCTCCGCCGTCGCTGGAGGATCTCCTCCACCCCGGGTCTCTGGGCTTCGGATTCGTCGATCGGGTGAGCGCCCCCCCTCTTCCAGTGGCTTCTTGGCGGTTTCCCTTCCCCTCTCGATCTCTTCTTCGACCCTGGACTAATCCGTTTGTGCCTTCATCATCTCTGTTCTCGTCTGGCAACGGGAATCAAAGCAGGACGGCGTTTTCTGTCATTTGGCTGGTGGCGGAGGGCAGTTGCTCACCGGGGGAAGCCATGCATGGTCTCACAACCTGACGCCCAAGAACTCCAATATCTCTGCAACCATCGAGTCTCAGTCATCCATGTGTGGTATATGATCCGTTCTTTACATCTTCTTCTTGGTGATATGTCTTTCTCTGTTCATGAGAACCTTTCTGCCACTGTGCCTAAGCATTAATAGCTCAGCCTGAGAAATCAGACTGTTTTAACAACATAACTGTGTGGAGATGGGTGGACAATGAAAGAACTAGTCACCATGGAATTATCCTTTTGGTTCTACAAACACAATCAGTTTGCTCTTGAAGTATTTTGATACCAAATCCAAATTAGAGATAACATGTACAGTCAGATTTACTTCCTTTTACAGTTTAGTTGAGCTAGGTTTTCTTACTATCAGGACTTATAATCTTCTTGATCTCCAAGAATGCTCCTCAATTCAGTCGCTGAATCCTTAACCCTGTTTTTGTTAGAGTTGAAATATAAGTCTGATAAGTTTTTATCAGCTTAAGCTTTTAGAATTAGTAGTCACTTAATTCAATACTATGTCATTGTATAAGAGAACTTAATGAAATCCTGTTGTTCTCACTCGTATCTTGCACTTCTATTCGCTTGTCACTATTTTATCATCTTGTGTTACATTTTTGAATGTATTGTTCTTACATATTTCACTATGATAGCAAGGTAATAAGTTAACATTATATTTGAGTAAGTGTAAAATTTTCAGGCAAATTTACCTAGTATATTCTTACAGAAACCTCAATCACCAAAAATTGAAGTAATAAAATCTTTGACCGTTTTAAGCTTTCTAAAATTCTATTCTGATCTTTTCCTAACTTCATACAAACTCTAAATCATTTATTAATGATCCAATCAAGATCTATGCTTACTCTGTAAGTAACCTATCTTTTACTCATTCTTTACAGCTTTTTGAACGTCATTAAGGTTTGAAGAACTGAATCATTTTAGATCTTGGTAGTTTGATTGAATGGTTCTTGAAAGTTTGTCAACATGAACGGTCAGAGAATAAATTTTATTAGAATTTCTATGAGAGAAGGAAATGGTGAGGATGAGAAGAAAAAAAGGTATAAAGGACATGCATCCCCTTGTTTGCTGTAAATATATCCCTTTAGTGTAAATAATATTATGATGGAAAAATTTCTGATTCACTGATTTTAGGGGCCAAAAATACACAGAAAAGCTCCCTATCAGGTGGACCAAGCTCATTAGTGCCAGGAATTGCGCATAACTATTTAGTACCCAGTTCCAATCTGAGAGCATAAGTCGTCAGAATTTGAATTCCATTTGTTATTTAATAGATAAAAGTTGTTTAGTTTCTTTTATTTCAACTAAATTTAATTGAGTTTCTTAAAAATAGTTCAGTTGAATTGATATGAAGAAAGCAGCCCATTGTTATGAAGAAGATTTGTGCATGAAATAAGTTCGTGGTTGTAAAAGGACATTTCAGCTGTACCACTCTTACTAATTGTAGGTGTACATCTGTGAATCCATTTTTTTTTCAATTTTGGAATCATGAATTCTGTTCCTTGGAATTAACTTCTGGAAAACTCATCACTTCAATGGTGGCGATTCGATTTCTGAAACTTAGTTTTCTGCTATCCAAGTTCCGAGCAAACTAAAATTCTTGCTTCTCCTTTTCAATTCTATTTTAGCTGAGACACCAACTTCATCTCATAAGCCTACAGCAAAAGTTAGTCAAACTCTTGGAGGAACAAGTGGGTCTGAGCAATCAGATGAGGAGTCCTTAGAGACAGAGGGTGGGCAATACGAACAAAGCACAGATGTCATAGACAACAAGCGGATACGAAGGTACATCAAACAGCATGATTTACTTCGATCTTCTATCTGGTCATCCTATTAATTTTCCATAATAATAAAAAGAGGAAAAATAAACCAATTGTTCAACCAGTGCACTTTCTGGAAAGCAAAAATAAAGAAAGACAGACAGATGGTTAAGCTGATTGAAGTCCAAAATATTCTATTCTCTAGCAGACAATTAGCTGCAATGTTCCTGTTGGTAATAAATCTATAAAATCATGGCTTTTTCAATGTTAGAATCTGCTTATATTTCTTTCTTTGTTGTATGTCGTCTCATGACTCATTGAAAGAAAACGGTTTTCCTTGCATTTTCCTTGACTAGAACTCAACCTAATACTTCATTTAGTAGCTCTTACTTAGAACATGGAAGATGTAGGAAAGAATAATTTATTGTTCATCATGTTCATAATTTTATTTTGCTCTTAAGGATGGCGTCGAATCGGGAATCTGCTAGGCGATCAAGAAAGAGAAAGCAAGCCCACTTAGCTGATCTCGAGTTGCAGGTAAATTATGTGCCACACTTTTGTTTGTTAAATAATAGCACTGATTAAATAAATTGGCTTCATGCTCCAAATTGGGTGTTTTGTATAAATGCCAAAACACCTTCACATATTCTTTTTTTTTCTCTTTAGCAGCAAGTTTTTCATATCAGGAATAAGAGTATACATAAAGGAGCACATGACAAATGGAATCATAGAAATATATTATATATGCAAGTCAGCTAACTACCAATGCAATCTGTCATCTGCTCATTGCCTGTCCAAATTATGTCTGAGTGGAATTTCTAAAAGAATGTATGGATATACCATTTATTCTCCAAATTCTGCATGATGAACAATGTGTTCCATGATTCAATGCCATCATTTTCCCCATACAAACCTGTCTTAACTCCTTCCGGTCACTATTGGCACATTGAATGAATTAAAAAAAAAAAGCTGCAGAAAATCCAAAGATTTCCTTCATCCATGCTAAATGTTTGGAAATCCTCAAGAATTATCTTCTTCTTTTTTTTTCATTTGTTATAATGTTACAGGTACTTGTGATATTCTAATATCGAAACATCTGTTAAAAACTGCTTAGTGGAAATCTCAGTCATATAAAAAGAAAGGAAATCATTTCTAGTAATCACAATGTGTATGTTCAGAATGAAAGCCAAGTTATCCAGTTTATCCACTTCAAACTTTCAGTTTTTCTTGCCCATGTCGTTTGTCAGGTGGATCAGCTCCGAGGAGAAAATGAGTCCCTATTCAAGCAACTAACCGATGCCAGTGATGAATTCACTGAAGCAGTCACAAATCATCGCATTCTCAAGTCAAATGTGGAAGCGTTGAGAATCAAGGTAATCTTTCTTTGTTAGATTGCAATGCAAATCATGAACTCAGTTACTTCCCAGAGCTTATAACAGACAAGAACAATGTTTTGCCAAACCATTTCAGGTGAAGATGGCAGAAGACTTGGTCACCGGAGGTGCTTTGGCTTGCGGTCTCGACCATCTCCTCCAGACCAACATTGGATCACCCCAGTTCCTGAATCCTCAGCAACCATCCCGGGCATCCCCAGATTTCCTCTCGGCCATCCAAGTCCAAGCAGATGATCCTGGTTACGTTGGCACTCCATGTGCTGGACAATTCCAGAATACAGGGATGGGAAATAATGATGCAGAGAATGCAGACATCTTGCCTGGACTGAACCAGACTTCGCCATTGCAGAGCATTACAAACATGGATAACCATCGCATTAGGATTCCAAGGGAAGTAGCAGGCTGTGGAGCTGACATCTGGCCATGCAAAACCAACAGAGACTGAGTGCCGAAGTAGCATCCTAGATTTCACGTAAGACCACATAATTTAGTGAGGATTAGTTTGCCGGTTTTAATATTGGGCTCGACTCCTGTAATCGACTTTAAGTTACATATGCGTAGACCTTTTATATTTGCTCATGATTTTCATATAATTCATCTGTTTTGTTTTGTTATATTGATATATATACACACACACATTATTTAAAAAGACACGAAAGCTCCAACATTTCATAACGTAAGTAGGCACATACGTGACTGACATCCATTTCCAAGTAAGGCTTTTGGATTTTGACATAGTAGATTTTATATAATTTCTTATGATTTTACATAATTTGGATTTTTTACATGACACTATCCGTGCTTCAATAAAAGTTATATGGTGAATTGTCATAAAAAGTTTCTACTTTTAAAATTTTTTTAAAGTATCTTTACTTAATTTTTTTTTGAAATAACGTCTCTAGTTATGTAAAAAGATTGTTTTATCTTCTTTCGTTGATCCCATTGTTATTGCCTTTGCTTATCTCATCGGCTTAGATGTTGCATGCTTCGCTTACTAGCTGTTGATGAACTGGTGCGCTATAGCTTATGAGTGAGCACGGCCTGGTCCACTGGTCGATGTCGGGAGTCTTCGACCGACTAAGCTGGTTGCCGAGATCGGTCACGCCCTCAGGACAGGGTGCTGGCACCAGAATGTTGATTGACGTCTCTCGATCAGGATGTTGGTTGGTGGCTCTCGGTCGGGATGTTGGTTGGCGGCTCTTGGTCGGAACGTTGGTTGGCAGCTCTTCGTTGGGATGCTCGTGGCTCGGGGGGTGGTCACTCTTCTGCACAGATAGCCCTCGTCGGGTGGTTACCGATTTTGGTCCCTCAACGAGTAAGTCAATACTTGGTTGATTTGTTTTTACCTCCCTTGGATCATATACCGGCCAAAAAATTTTATACTACTGTACGAGGGTCGATCATACGTGGGTTTTGTATAACGGTTGATCCTCGAGGGATGAGATGGTACCTTTGTATGGTCGTCATCCCGGGAAGCGTGGAACGACGTCATATAACGCTTTCCCGAGCTTTCCTGAGACGTACTAAGGAATACCTTGGTACAGATTCTGACTTGACATATAAGAATATTCTTTTTATTGACCTAACGAGAGCGTGACGTGATATTAATTATGACGTGACTCGAATTCAAAATATATCTTATCACTATCATTCGCCTTCTTGCTCCCTCTTGACAAACGACAAGGAGCACGAGTCAATCTTTTTCCTTTCTCATTTATGATCGATGAGACGGGAAAAATCCCTTGCCCTTTTCTCGAGTGACGATAAGGGCATGTAAAGGTTGTAAACAATCATTCAGAGTGATGGTCAAATAAAAGAAAATCGATCATTTTAAAGAAAAGGATTATATTTCAAAACATTTTAATCTAGCGGTGCTTGCCGAATTCGTCCATGTATATATATACATACCGGAGAGGCGAATGATGATGGCGAACGGTGGTGAGCGCGACGACAGTGGCCCACTGCTCGAATTCACCTCTCCTCTTTCTGCTGCCGCCATGTATCCAGGATCAGCGAAGAAGCACCAAAGGGATTGCTCTTCTCTCCCTTGTTTCCTTTCTCTCCTTGAACCCTATTTACGGGGAGAGGAGGAATACCGAGATCGGCAAGTAGCTGAACCCTTTCTCCGGTTTCTTTCGCCTTTTTGTTTCCCTTCCTGATGGTTATTAGGCCGGATCGTTCTATGATGGTGTGAAGTGATTCCGGATCTCTCTCGCTACGTTCCGTTGACGTGATCCTTCTTGTAGGACTCTAAGAGGCAAGAGTCGGTGGAGAAGCGTGAGATTGTGAAGCAGTCGGGAAAGAATCCGCTTAATCCTAAACCAAACAATGGGCGTTTACCATCTTCCGCAGGTAATTTTTCCTACCCCTCTCTTCTATGTTATTTGCCCTAAATCTCTAGGATTATGCTGCTCAATCCTGTTTGTTCTGGTTTGTGGATGAGAACGAATCGAACTGGATGATGTGGGAGGAGAATTTTCCAAATCATAACACAACTTCTTGTGCTGAACCTTAAAATTTCAGCCAATGTAGGTTTCCGATTGTCGATTTAATTGGATTCATGGGAGTGTTGACTTAAATCTCTCAATGCTTTCCCCCACAAGAATGACACGAATTCGTGTTCTTACCTTGTGTGTATTTGATTTAGACCCAATGTGGTCTTGCTGTGTACTTACTTTGATAACTTTACTTGTATCTTTAATTTCCCATAAAGAATTGAGTTTCATAGATGGAATTCTTAAAAATTGCCACTTGGTTGTGTTAGTTGTAATCACTCAAATCATTTCATGTGAATTGGTGCAGCATAAGTCTTGGTAATTGATCTATTTATATCCATTAGAAAAGCATTTTTTCTGTTGACCTGGAAACTCCCATGTACTTTCGGACATTCTCAAAGACTTTCTGGTATCAATGGAATGATCTTTGAATGTTAATGGGGCAAGTATTAGGTGCATAAAACTCTTTCAAATGCTTCTTTGTTTACTTGCTTTGGGGGTTGTATTAAGGATCCACTTTAGTTCTTGCTTTTATACATTGATAGTTAACCAACTTATTGGGCATAGACAAGAATCTCATGGTATGTGTTGTTTGTAAAAAATTATCTTGGTTGACAAGAGTTTAGTTAAATTTATTTTAAACTTGAGTCGTAGAGGCAAAACCTTAAACATTAAGGGCCAATTAAGGGTCCTAACAAAAAGTATAGTAGACGGAGTGACAAAAAAGCTTTTGAAATAAAAGTTTTAGGTACTATTATTCAACAAGGGAAAGAGATTGATGAAAAATATTATTTAGAGAGTAAAGTATGAAGGGACTCAACATTTTGTATGATCATCTGACTTTTATATAATTAAAAGATAAATAAAAAATATTTGTTAGGCTTATAACATCCTTGTTAAATAAAATTCAGACTTAACAAGTTAAATAGATCAATTATCCTATCAAGTCAGATCGTGACAAATGGCATCGGAGGCAGCATAATATTGGACATGGTTAAAGTAGGATAGAGCTGTATGTCACCGCTAGGTTAAATCTCACAAGTACTCTGCTAAAATTTAATTTGAGTTTTGCGATTTACATCACATTTTGGTCGGTTATCAAATCTTAATAGATAAAATAAAGAAGAATCATCTAAGATTATATAAATATGTTTGTGTAGCTCAACCCAAATAGTTGGCATCGTGCAACTTATTGTTAATGTTATTGGCCATATACTACTAGAAGGCACACAGTTGTCACAAACATGTTATATTATGATGATTTGAACCGACACTTCACATTTGTTCTGTAAATGCACAACTTCACATGCAAGATTAGTTTAGTAATGCGCAAACATGTACATCAACCTTCCTTGGTCCCGACTATGCCTTGGGCTGTTATTTTTCTTATAGCTTTCATGTCGAGTTGGTTGTCCAAGAACAGAGCCACAAAACAGGAGTACATTAAGTTATGTACTTAGCAATTATTCTACCCATGAATCTGCATAGTTGCTTTTATCCTTGAGTAACACATCTATAGCTACGTTAAAGTTTTGATGTATCTATTGGTGTTTCATAATTGCGTCATATGTAAACTATGATGTCAAATGTTGTGATCACAGTGCTAGTTGTACTATATATGGATTTGAATTTATGGTGGTTTTAAAGCAATATGCACAAAAGGTTGCATTGTTGTGATGAGAGTGTTGGGTGGATATATGAAGCACGAGGAAAAACATAGCAAACAATATTATTTATGAATAGTTAGGCATAATTTTGATAAATCATAAAATGTAAAAGAATTGTAAAGATATGTGAATATTCTCAAGAGACATACATGCGATTAGACAAGATGAGACTTTTTGATTTTTAGAATGTTAACTAGTTTAGCTGGTAAAAATTTTAGATATTAATAGCAATGTCGTAGATAATCCTTCTCAACATTTTTAACATTCATAAATACGAGGTTTTGTATTCTTACTCTTGAGTTATAACCTTAGCTTAACTTTATAGTTTCTAGGCCCAAGTGCCCTCTAGCCTATCCACTCGATCTTTCTCTTTTAGTCTGTGATTGGGAAGTTACAGCATTGGCAGGTAAGCAACGATTACCAGATGTTAAACCGCATTCACCAGGCAGTTTCTAAGCTGTTAAGATGTGATCAACGTACCGAAACACTTGTATCAAACTTTGCCATCCCATTTTCCATTGGCATGTTCAAGCTGGATGTTTTTTTAATTCAAATTCATTTTCTTCATTATATCGAACTATTGGAACTTGAGACGTTACGTAACAATGATCTCAAAGACAAACGTGTTAGTGTTGGTATAATTGTCTGTAATTTTGAGATATTCCTGATTATTATTGGCCTTCATAGCGTGGACGGATAAAATCTTACTCCTGCTATGTGCTAGCTATTCAAATTGTTGACTTAATTGGCTGGACCCACCCCGATAGCCTTCTATAAAATAGGCATTGGACTTTTAATTAAAGAACATGAGATATTGATTCAGTCTCCTTGCAACTTTAAAGAGTATATGTAACATAAGCCTGTATGTGTTGATAGCACTTGCAGGAGACGAGGCTTTTTAGAAGATGTCTTCGTCATGCAGGACTGATACGTGCTGGTGGATCCCACTTCCTCTTTCTTTTATGGCCTGGGATGTGCCACATCAGCTGGTCGATAAGGGTGTTCCCGTTTTGCGCCTCCGGCACGTGAGCCGTCAATTTTTGGTTGGCCGTCCACCCCGGCGGTCTCGTTGAAGCCTCCCCCTTCTCGCTACTGATAACGTCACCGGTAGCGGTTTGCTTACCCCTGCGAGGGTTCGCGACGTTACCGACTCCCCCTCCTTGGCGTTCGTCGCCTCGCTGGCGGACAGCAAACCTTTGGCGGTGGAAGGTCCTGCTGCGAGTTGTAAGCCGTTTTCTACCCCCATCCGCTCCCCCCCCCCTTTCGAATACCCCGAAATCTACCCCGCTTACGGCGTATGCCACGGCGGGCCCCGCGGGCACCTGTTGGTGGCGCGCGGTATGCGTGAGCTTAGTGCATGTGGGATCGAAAGATTTTTTTTTTTGCCTCCTGTGCCAGCTCTTAGCGCTTCCTGTGGGCCCCGTCGTCCTTCACGAGTTGAGATAAATAAAA